GGTTACGGAACAGGCACGTAATTTTTAAAGAATTTTTCTCTCCGTGTACTTCCTTTGGGGAAATCCTTTCAAAGAGTTTTCGGCTGGAGTTGATCTGTATAAAGAACTAATCCTAAAAAAACATACGAGATGTATGAATTTCTATTTAAACCTTGACATATAAGGTTAAAAACATGAATTCGAAAAGTGAAAGCGTAACCTGCGCTTCTTCCTCATCATATACAATCCCAAACATGTTTTTTATCCGCAGGGATAGATATAAAAGCCGTTCCTTGGGCAACTATGAATGCATTTATTCCAGATGATTCCAAATTTCTGATGAAAATTTTTAATGATTATGGAAAATTGATTTAATGATTATGGAGAAAGAGACTAACCAGGAATACCACTGGATGGCCCTCGTTGTACGTGACATCAGATTATTGACTACAGAGAGTACGACTGAAACTTGACGTAGGTCGATGTCATGGGGTTAACAGAGTTAACCTCAACGAGTTTGCTCACAGCAAAGTCTGAAGTAGAGCTGAAGATGGAGATCAGTCCACCACCACTTGATATATACGAGCTATTACACGACATAGCCCCCCCAGGCGACGCTTCGCTCCGATGAATAAACCACCATCTTCCAACTTCCTTATTCTAGACGTGACTTTCTTCTATCTCGTACCTGTTCGCCTATATCATTTGTATCATTACCACTCCAATTATTGCACTTAAGTGATTTACGGAATATCTGTTTATTTTGGGGTCCGGTGTCAGTCGACAAGTGCTTGAAATAATAGAAATTTGCTGAAGGGCTTACTTCGAACTTCGAAATATATTAATTATCTACAGAACTCGTCTCGTTGAAAGAAGAGACTCTTTGGCAAATTAGATTTAAAACGCAGGAATTCTGCAGTGCAATAAAGCTAAGGCAATTGATTGACTTGAAATATCTCGGAAATTAAGGGAAATAAGGAAAAGTACTAAAAAGGCTATTATATTATTTATTTTATTTTTAACAGAATTCGTTGCAAGTTCTTCCAAGGACTTACAGCTGATCATTGCCCGAGGGCCTTCAGCCACTATTATAATTATTGGGCTATCTCTCCTTTAAGATATGTTAAACTTATCTTTGTTGAATATCATTTTCGGGTGATATATGAAGATTCCTGTCTGATCCATTTAGAAACATGAGAAAACTCAGCCAAAGTTAATTGTTTGAATGAAGCATGGAAATTAAATTTTAATTAAAAGTAAATAGAAACTATCATAAGACGATGAAAACGGATTTATCTGTCTTCTTTTTTTGAAGAATTCAAGTTGAAATTAATCGACTATTTGCTGATACTTAATTCATCCACTTATTTATGGGAAATATAAAATAAAAAAATGTTAAAAATTACGAATAGAGCAATTTGTTATGGGCGTGCGTTCTACCCCAGGTGCCGATATTACCCCAGCATCCCCTGAATTTTTCAAAAAGGTTGAACAGGACGTAAAAAATTTCCGCCTGATAATCAGACTGATGAATATCAAGAACAGTTTACCAACAATCTGCAAAAAAACATAACAAATTTTGGAATTCCAACCATAAAAAAAATATATTAAATGTATTAAATGTAAAAAAATGAATTTGATGAATTACTTTTTTGGATATATTAGGTATTGTACACATAACGAATAATAAATGAATCATTAATTAATTTGTATATGTATATATTTGTTTTCCTGATACGTTTTTACGTACATCCACCTCGGTTACAATGTATAACATTCATAATAATACAATATAGATTTTTCATTTATTCATATATATTATCCATAGTAATAATTGTAATACATCTAGGTATGCGGTACGATGTCGCAGAGGTATATTGATAGTTTTCTTTTTCATTCCCTTCTTTTCAAGCCTTCAATCATAGCTAGTTCTTTTTCGTATAACATTCTCATCTATTGATTCAAATTATCATACGGTTATTGTATGAATTTATACACATAGCATACATATATGCCTATACCATGACTTTATTCAAACGTTTTTCTGGTTTTATATTTCACAAAGAAGTACTCCTGTTACTTACAGTACACCCATCTCTTTTTAAATATCCAATCCAAAATAAAATAGCACATTAGGCCTTATAATTCCAAGCATTTAACCCGATAAACTTATAATCTATAAATCGACAGACATACCTCGAGATAACTGAATTTAATTCCTCCTCATAATAATTAGATAATTTTCATTGAAGTGCGGACTTTCTGCTGTTTATTGATATCAATAAGCAATAAATATTATCAATAAATACTGATACACAACGAGATGATTGAAGAAGTGGCTGGAAATATGTTCCCAATCACAGCACATTGCGTAATCAGCAATTTTTCAGTATATTATTCAATAGTACTTCCATTTACCCGAATTATTGATGAGTGACAATGATTCAGCAGAAAGCCGCAATGTTGAGAAGAAATGAGAAAGACATTGGGAGTGAAGAGAGAAGGTACAGCCGAAAAGCTGCGGTGGAACGTTCGCCCTTTGTCCTTTATCTTGGCATTTTCCCTTTCTTTTGATTCTCATTCCTTTCTCCATTCTCTCTCTTCTGTTCAAGAGTCACCTATTCCGTATTCTCTCAGGCGTTTCTGTACGGTTCGCGAACACCGGAGGAACTCCGACTGTTTATACTAGCCGTCACGCGAAATTCCCTCGCGAGGGGCCCTCTCAACACCCAAAGAGAATAATAAAACTTATGTGGTAGAGAAGCCAGCGAATTGTTTTTTTTTTCTTCTAATGCCAATATTTATCCGAATTCATCTTATTCATTAAGGATTCCAAATTTTTTTTGTTCACTTCCCGTTGTACTTGTTTCTACCACGGTTTTGCATTTTCTTCGTTCCCAGGTAATGAGAATTATTCGATAGTATTTTTGTAGCGCTAGTTTCACACACATATTTCATCATTAATCTTCTTTAATACGTTTATGGTTCCCGGATTGAATTATCCCGTCATGATTCTCCGGGAAAAAATTTCTTCAACGAAAATTTCCCTCTGAAAAAATTATTCAACTCGGTATAATGAACATAACAGGAGTTTGATATAATTTATTGTAGAATTGTAATAAGATGTTTCGTTTTTTTAATGATAGGATTCTTAAATTAACCATCTCGTCACATCGATAGTTAATCTATGAAATTCTTCATACAAAATTCGTTTCTTAACGTGTATCACGATTATTCACGTGACCATTAGGTTTAAAACTCATTGGGAAATATATTAGAACGATAATTAATTTCGGGGGAAATCATTCCCGGGAAGATTTATTCGTTAGGAAATTTTTAACGGGAAATCTTTGGTGGTGAAATTAATTCCGGCCACCTGCGTTTATAAGACTTGACCATTACGTTTTCTTCACATAAAATTTGATGATGTTAATTATTGAGGGCATTTGCTATCCATCAAAGTTAATATTTGGCATTTGTGAGACTAGGTAAGTTAAACAGACGGTCTACAATCGAATTTATTGAGGAGTTGCTAATAGAAGTTCGGTTGGAGCTCGGGCGACTCCGTTGGCGGATATAAATAGATGGGGATTTTTCCTTGTACGGAAAAAGGCTAATGATGATAAAGAAAAGAAGGAAAATCCTCGGAAGATTACTTATAACATAGAAACTATCATATGAGACTCAAAAGGGTAATCTCAATTAAGGTGGATAGAAAAATCCAGGGGGTGGAATTTTTAAGGATAAATTTAAGTGCTGAATCTAATTGAAGGATTGCAGGTTTACGATCAGAACGACGGAGATACAAATAAATAACACCTGTTTGGGGAGCACAGAAGCACGTCAGCCTGGACTCTTCGGAAATGTATGGAGGGTTGTAGAAAAAAATTTATCCCCATTTTTGGAAAAGTCCCATGCGTTGACATCGACAATTGCTGCCCCATAAATTACACCGACAAGATGAACTGTAGCAGCAATCATTAGGCCTGTGATCGCAGTTTCCATCTCGACGAATGCAGCTACGCCTATACAGATATATGTAGGAAGAACGTCTACTCGAGATTAATGAAATCAAGAAAAAACACATCATTACGCTAAACAAATGTTCAAAGTAAACTATTCTAGTTTTAGGCAGGTACCATTAATTGTCCAAATAAAGCTATTTTTCAACACACCTGGATGGAAAGTTCGCACTGTACACTGAGAGAAATATTCAATAAAAATTACGTGTATTTTCCGTAATTCTGGAGCGAAATGTGGTTGTCGGAAATTTTACGGAACTGTCACGTAATTTTTATCTAAAGTCACGGAATTTTTGCGCGGTGTTCCGTAATTTTTATCTGAATTATGGGTGAAAAATAACGATACCGTCACTTAAATTTTTCGAATCAACTCCGTAATCGGTAAGTGAACAGAAAGTTCCGTAATTTTTACTAAATATTTCTCTCCGTGTACTCCGTGCTGCCATACATTGTTTTCAAATTTTATCAGAGATCATGCATTCTACCTAAAGATAACCGATGGTTTTCAACTGATAATTACAAAGGGTACGGAACAATTTTTCATCACCATACAAACAAAAAGAAGAAGCAAGAAACTTCCATAAAAACATGAAATTTATACTTGTGCCCTGTAACGTTTTCATTCCCAAAAGTCAACTTTTTAAATCGAATTCATACAAACATTACATTAAAAATAATAATCACTGCAAAAAAATAAACTAAACTAAGAAAATAATTAGGGTACATGCTAAAAAAAATGAGTTGAGATAAAACAGAGTAAAATTTTTTCAATGGAAAACGTTTTTTCCATGGAAGTCCTCAGCATTTGTTAATCTCGCCCAAATTAATTTGCATAATTAATTTTTCTCTGAGTGTATTTTTTGTCTTTCTAGAAAAGGGAATATAAGCAAGAATGAAGAAAATGACTACGAAAACTCTCTAGTGTGCGATGAAATCATATCAACGAACATTCTACATAAAAAAGTCGTTTCGATAACTGAGACACAAATAATCACTCACTTTTGTTGCGCTGCACGCATGAGATCCTCCAATGCATTATTATCCGAGTAATCAGCCGTATCAACTGGTAGTGCGTCCATGTCTAGAAAATTACCAGATGCAAATATTATTGCCATTGGGATTCCATTTGACAATATCATATAAGGAAGAGCGTCATAAAATTTTTATGCTAAACCGATATCTACATTTCCCAGAATATTTTCCACTGCGGATCAATATTTACGAATTCAATAAATCTTTACATCTTCCCTCAGAAGTTTTTATTATAATATTCGCTTCATTAGAATATCAATTCAGTTGAGTATTCGCATACGAAAATATCAAGATTCTGTATATATGTATATATATAAATATAAAAATATATATTTAACGTGATTCGTTGGAAGATGTAACTGACTATTGCCAGAGGACCTTCACCTAGTGGGAACATGCGATTGTTTATAATATAAATTCTTTGTACTCGATATACATAAACAATTCTGATTTGATGAATTCAAGATCTCCAATGTCAATCCTGTATATTTTTCAATAAATGTTCCCTTCCATCGACATCAGTTGGCGAACTAATAGTACAATTACCTTTTTAATCCCATAATTTATCTGATTATAAGTAGTTTCAGTTCAATTCAGTTCCAGAACATGAATTTCACCGTTACCTTTCAATGTATGTTCTATTCGGCTTCCCTAGAATAGAATAGAATCGCCCCCAAATACAAAATGACTTGCTCATTTCTAAATCCCCAGCATGACTCATTCTGTCAATAAAAGAACTGTTCGTTGAGTTCAGTTTTTTGTTGATCCACTTTGTCGAATCATCTTTCCACCATTGAACCATAATGTAGTATTAATTTACGCTGAATAAACCTTTCTATAGATGTTTTGAGAAGGATTATATAATTTACATATTCTTTTCGAGAGGAGGGTACATTCCGCGTTTGCAAGTCAAGTCGTCGCAGTATATTGGAACTATGTAATGCCCATGAAAAAAAGAGTGGAACATATAGTAATTTTTCAATTTATTTTCATTTTTATTTTTTCTACTTATTTTAAATCGCTTTGAGTCGTGATGACTATGTGGCAATTAATCGAGACTTCCAAGAATGGTTAGATCTCATCATTTTACCCAACCAGGAATTGAACCTGGAACCTATCCGCTGTGAAGCAATAGTCTTCTTCACTCTGTTAGACTACCGAACTTTTCCAATTTCCACAATGAATTAAATATATACATACGAAATTTATATTTTGTGAAATATCAGTTTTTCTGTGCGGTATGATAGTCCTACAATGAAAAGGAAATAATTGTCGTGCTTTTACACTCCTTAAACACCTCTTTCAACGTTTTACTTATACTTCATGCAAAAAAAACTCGTAATTAACGTAAAAAATCGAGGGTAAATGAACGACGAGAAAAAATCACGAACATGACGTGAGAGTTCTGCAATTCTGAAATGCAAAATGCGTTTACATATATTTTTAAATATATATAATTCTTTGTGGGGTGGGATATAACGGTGGGGAAAAAATTCTTCGCTTCCTCCATTCCCTCATCTATTTCACATTGATGTCAACACGATGGCCAGCGCGTATGCAAATTATCATTACTCGCGACAGTTCGATTAGGGCATGGAAGATGATGAGTAGAAAAATGAGAAGCGGGATGATGGAAAGAATGCCCTTTTATTAATTACACTCCGTCTAGTGTGGAGACGGCTGGTGAGCGGTTATCACTGTGGGAAAACAAATTTCATCATGCAAATACTGATAAACATGACATGTTGTGGATTCAATATGTAATGCGTCGGCTGATACGCCACCATGTGTTCAAATATTACGGCTGCGGTCAACTTGTGTGATTGGGAGGGAAAATAAATTAGACCGCAAAAATAGATGGAACGATAAAGTGAACGCCCCATTTTTTCCTCCCTATCTTTCATGATGAATTTACTATTAATATGAGAGACATTGTTGACACAGAAAAAATAAAGGGTGTCCCGAGAAAAAACTATTCATTGTAAAAATTCAACAGTCTGATATATCTATTTTTCTCTGTTTAAGAAAATAGGGTAAAGTGGATATCTGAAACCTCAAGGAAGAGCAATGTCCGAGCTGCAAATAATAAGTTTAATAACATTGTTATTGAAAGTAAGTCTTTTTTGAGATATTCGGGAAAATGATTTTTGAGAAATTCCTATATCTCGAAATAGTATATTTCGTAACAAGTGCAGAAAAGTAATTTATAACGTGTGGGAGGTTTATATCACGAACTGAAGGCGAAGGGTATAATCGCACATGCCAAAAACCACTTTCTGCACGAGTTGCGAAAAATATTTTTCTTCGGAATGTGCGGGAAAGTCACTTTTTATTTCGTCACGTGAAGAAAAATTACTTTTCGGGACATCGTGAACACAGCACTCCTAGCCCTCAAACAGCGACACCTGTGAAAAAGCCTAAAGCTAACAAGGCTACTATAGGTCAAATAAGGTGAACAGGTGGGCGTTCATAGTGGAGAGCTACCCAGAACAAAAGATGAGCCAAGACGGGATAAAGGGCCTGAAGGGACTAATTAGGTCCCAAATCCTCTCTCTACCGGAGGGGACAAAGACACCAACCTTTGAGGGAATCTGGGAAAGGGCTTTTGTAGGCTGCACTGATGAAGAATCGGGGATGTGGCTGAAAAGCCTATTTCCTGGTAACACAATCGGTGGAACAACCTTTCGTGTACTGACACCCGAGATTATAAGAAGATTTTGCTGTGATTTTTTCATTAAATTAAAATTTTTTCACCGCTACCTTTATTGAAATTTCGGAGAAACTGTCTCTCTCTAAAATAATTCATAAAATAGTGCTCGTATCTATACTTTTAAATGGCTTACTGCAGACTTTAAAGGAAATATACAACATTGCAATATTGCATGAAATAGGCAAGGAAGATTTATGGCCATCGGTAGTTTTACACTAGAACTTTCACGATTTAACTTTATAATTTCATAATTGAACTTTTCACAATAAAAGGAAATGATTCAAAGTTTCACGTATGAATTTCATTGCTATACAACTCGACAATAATGATGAATGCTTCTCCTTGAAAGCCTGGAAAACCTTCTCCTGTAAAATAATTTTCATTAAGAATTTGAGAGTGAAGGATATAAAACGGCTCACTCTGCAAACTAAAAAAATTTAACTCATTCTAAACCCACTTTGCGATTATTTATGACCCCGCACTTCTGAATAAGTTGAAAAGAAAAGAACAACGAAAAGTAATAACAGGTAAAAACTTTATTCTTTCTTAGTGGACCACTTTGGAATGATAATAAGGAAAATCCAATCATCAGAAAACGATGAGGTGCTCCTAAATTAATTAAATCATTTGTAAAAGAGACATATGAAAAGTAAAGTGATAAAATAGTATGGACAATTGAAAAGGGACAGATAAAAATATTAACTAAAATTAAAGCTACAAGCAAAAAACCGTAAATAAATAATGACTGGACTGTCTGATAGAGTTCATACAAATTATACTTTCCTTTTATCTCTCTAAAAAAAATAACATTTTTTATGGAAGTTATTAGAATTGGATAGATTGAGCTGAACTACTATCGAAGAATAGAAATGAGCTACCGAACGAGCGCACGCTGTCATGCGACGGGTGGAAAATGGTCATTTCTGTCACAAGACCCGTAACCGGAGGTTTCGAGGCACATGCAATTATCTGTAATAAATGCCTGTGCAATAGACGAGACGGGGCAAGGGAGGTGGAATTCCATGGAGGGAAGCCACTGGAATAAAAAATTAACAAAGTATTTGAAAACTTACTATAAACAAACAATTTTAATTTTACCTCTTCGTCAATTTATTTTGATAAACAAAGAACATGGGACTATTACTTAGTGTAAATTCATCTCTTTTTTAATCAAACGATTATTATTTATTGGTATGTAAATTAGTTAGTGTCATAACTAATTAACTTAGCAAAACTATCGAATAGTTTAGGCATCAATTTGGCGTAACTATCCCAACGAAAACTACAAAACTAATCTCTGTGACCTAAATGAGGGCTCATTTCATGTTCCACTTTTAGGGCTATGCCCTATATCAATCGGTCGAAGAGAACACCCCAAAAACGGCAAAACAGCCACTTGGACTAACAGGATTCTGCAAACAATAGCTTCGAGAAATGTACGACCTATTAGTGAGGATGGAAAAATATCGAAAAAGGAGATAGAATGTGTGTCAGAAAGCTCGGACACTTAAGACAGGAGTCAGAAAGACCGGAATCAGCAAAACTAGTATATCTAAAGGGGCTGAAATGGATTATCACCCCATTCGAATCTTTGAAGGCACCCGAACTAGGTGATGCCTACCCTATTCTGCCACATAAAAAGCAATCCGGGGACCGCTCACAATGATATTCAGGGGTGAAAGACAGCTGAAATTAATGCCGAAGGCTTAGGGGTGCGTCAAGAATGGATTTTCTCACCCAAACTATAAAAAAACAGCTATACTAAGCTGAGATATTTCAGGCACATAAATTTAATGTAAATTTGTTTATATCGAAAACTCTGCAAAGACTTGCAGACAGATCTATACAGCAAACGCACCTTATTGGCTCAAAGGGATAAATTCCACCAATAGTTTATAGACATTTAAACGATTAAGTTTATTGCTCTAACCATGCCATCTGGTTGATTACCATGATTACGACTAGAAGACGTCTTTATGCATACCTAAATAGTCGTGGCCGATATCTTCGAATTTATCTATTATATACGATATTTTATTGTACGATACAAAAAATCGGCAAAGAAAATAAAATAAGACATTAAGAAGTGTTTAAATGTCTGGAATAATCGTTGAGAAGGGAAAATAGATTATTGTAGGCAAAGAAAACAAAATAAGACATTAAGAAGTGTTTAAATGTTTGGAATAATGGTTGAGAAGGGAAAATAGATTATTGTAGGTTGTCATGAATGAGATGAATATGGAGCAGTTTGAAGTAGGTGATAGTGATGAAGCAAGTGAAGAACTATTGTATTGAAGAGCCATTGTACTCCAAGTGCCATTACTGTTCAAATACCTGTTAGATGTTGTAGAGGGGTTTGAAGCGGTTTGAAGTTTGAAGTACTTGCAACGGGTTTTTGATATTCCGAACGTTTGCACCAGGGTCAATAATCTGGTCCAGTTCATTAGAAGCGAAAGTTATCGTTGATTTCTTGAATATTATGGGTCCTGTTTCCGTGCGTTCGTCTATCAATCATGGAAATCAAGGGGTTGCCAAATTCTTTAGTAATCAATTGATTCTACCCATTTTTTCATTGCAAGCACAATTCTTTTGTAAGATAGTTGAATGTGGAGGTTATTATGTAAAACAATGTTAATTTCTTTGTAATAATATTAAGAAACTTTTTTCTTTCTGTAACTTTTTGTATGAAGATAAAAGGAGCCGTTACTCTGAGAGGATTTCTCCATAAATTAATGTACCACTCGCCGAGGTGGCAAAGAACTGGGGATCGCCGATGAATTCGTAAATGAATCCTTAGTTTTATGAGAGTTATGTGAAGAGGTAATGTGAGTCTCTCAAAAAGATATACTCTTGTTATTAAAGTGAAATGAGGTTATATATTGCCATATCGCTTCCATTATGGGACAATATTAAATTGGTGAGACGGTTTTTCGATCCGGATTTCATCAAGATGGCTATTCTCTGTTATTTATTTTGTACTTTTAATTGTTACAAATTTTCACTCTCATTTATTAGCATTAAATGAACGTACGTCATTTATGGACATTATTTCAAATTGGTAAAAAGAGAACAAGTGCTTGTAATTCGGCGCAACGCATGAAAAATAAACTCATGAAAATGCCAAATCAATCACTGGCCCACAGAGAGGAAAGTCCAGTAAAATGTACAAAATGAACGTGAAAATTCTTGAACTTTCCGTTTTCTTCGTGAGAGACCCAAAAAATTCTTGAGCATTTAAAATTGTTTTTTGATATTTCTATACAAATTCACTTAAAACCATTCTCGCCTGTAAAAAGAAGGGTTCGGTAGTAGGCGAATAGAGTACCTGCAATTTTATCATTGAAAATTTTGAAGAAAACACAAAAAAAGAAAGGCCAACGGCACGTGGTGTTCCCAAGCGGTCACCCATCCAAGTACTAACCACGCTCAACGTTGCTTAGCTTCAGTGATCGGACGAGAACTGGCGCACACAACGTGATATGACTGTTGGCTGATTTTCAATATAAAACTTTTCCGAGGGCATTCTAAAAGTTTAATGCGCTCTTATTGAATTATTTTCACTTTCAAGAAAAATTGTCTGACTAATGATGGGAAATGAAAGATTAACTAATTATAATTAGGATAAAAATTATAATGAATTACATGTAGACGCATGATTCTGAAAGAAAGCAAAAGAAAAGGACCACCGGCACATGGTGTTCTTAAGCGGTCACCCATCCAAGTACTAAACCACCCTCAACGTTGCTGAGTTTAAGTGATCCAACGACCATTTTTTTTAAAATAATAAGTGGAAAATTTATTCATCTTATGTACATTTCCATCATGTATGTTATACAAAATATTTCACAAGCAAATAGCAGAGGCATCTACTATTTTAATTATACCATAGTGATTACATTTAGAGTTTACGTTTATTTAATGTACAATTCGCCAGATTGTATTGTCTCGATTGTCTAGTGACTGCCATCTCGTTTAATTTAAATTGTTTGATTAGTGTGGCAAAAATACTGCGGCGCACACTAATAACTATAGCTGAAATATAACTGTTAGCTGAAAAGCTATAAAAAAAAGATGTCGAACCCATTCGAAAGATTTTTATTCCATTCGGACCATCGGTCATTTATTGGTGATCGAAAAAAGCAAATTAATTGATAATATATCACCAATAATGAGATTCCAGTACAATTAATTAATCACTGTGAGTTGATGTGAATGAGTAACCTAATATGGATTTATCGGCAGGGATGGTGTTAAATGATAAAGCAAATATTTAGTTTTACCCAAAGGTATTATAAATCAATTCTAACGAATGCGTGGATGGATAGCGAGTACAAAGAGCTAATCGTAAAGTACATGTTCTGGAAAAATAAATCACGGGAATTTGAGGAGGCTCCGTAGTAATAGTAGTTGAAAATTGAAGCTTCATGAAGATCCAGTTTTTGAACAAATCTTTTGCGCCGATAATCATAGATCAAAAGCGATTGTCGGAATTCGCTTGTCCTTCGAGCTCATGGAAAATTGAGAAAATTGCTGTTGTATTCAGAAGGTAAAAGGCACCCTTCAACGATTTAAAACGTCAATCCATCTTCACGGAAATGTCTATTGGTTTTCACTGGGAAACACACGAATATACGCGGATGTTTCCATGTGCAGATAAACGCAGAATAAATCGAAGGGAATTTCAACGGATTTTTACGTGTTACATCGATATCGCATTGAATTGCGCTGATTCAATTATCGAAGTCCCTGTAATTTAGAAATAACTTGAAAAAAAATTGGTTTCAATCCGCCGTGAGTTATCGATGCCGCAGAAAAGGGGATTTTAATATCACTCAAAAGGCTGAGTTTGCACACTATTCTTGTACAACTGATTTAGTTTCTGACTGACAACAAAAGTTAATTTGATACATGCAGGTGCACATAGTGCAGTACAAATGAGCACTCCAAACTTTCCAATGAATGCGAGCTCATGGAAACTGAGGTATGACGCTACCTCAACCTACACTACTTCAAATTGAACTGACGTTTGCTATTCAAATTGGTGAGTTTTATTGTACTAAAGTCTGGAAATCTGATGCCGGCAAAATGTGACGTATGGAGAGGTTTAATCCTCGTAAAGTTACTCTCAAAGTTTCGCATATTTAATCAGTTTCCTCATTTAATACCCTCCGCTGTAGTTCACAATCGAACTATGACTTTATGTTATAGGGAAGGATACAATAAGTCAACCACACATCGAATATATCCTATTATATAGTATACAAAAGCTAATGTACCTCAATGAATAATCAGAATCGATAAAGTGTAACGGATGAGAAAAGTGATGAGGGTGAAAAGTTGACATGCCAATTTTCGGGAACATTTCAATCTTAACACGAATCTTGAGCCCAAAACCGATAAATTAAAGTATTTCGCAAACTTCGTAACAACGGGGATGCATATTTTAATTGATTCAGATGGAAGACATTAAGTAAAATTAAAAAAAAACATTTTAATTGTTCAAATAGTTTTCGGAATTAATTTTCATTTGAACCGGTGATTCGATCGAATTCTAATTTTTTTGAATCCGTATAATCCTTTAAATTATTAATTTTCTAAAAGTCATGTTTAAACTTCATATATTCACTTGTCGGACAATTTCAGAGTATTTGAAGGCAACAACAATCGAAGGTACTATTCTACTTTGCGAGATATTCATTATAAAAAATATCAAGTTTTCGAAATCGTTGGAAAATGTGGAGAACCGCAAGGAACACTGAGAAAAAAAACTATTTTTGCTATGTAAATTTATTGACTACTGGAAGATCAGTAAATATATGCCTTTCACACAAAAATAATTATAAATGATACATTGAATTTTGCCACGAATTATTGCTATATATTTTGCAGATATACTCTTGTTCGTAATGGTAAATTCATCTAAAATGGGAGTAGATCATTTTTTACGCATTAACTGAGCAAAAATATTTTTTCCCATGTATACGTGAAGGGTTAAAGTACACGAAGAGAAATATTCAATAAAAATGACACAATTTACGTGGTGATGTCATAAATTTTCACAAAAAATTGAAATAAAAATAAGCGAGCGCTCGCAAAAATTTCCGTCACAGTTGCTTCGAATTTTCCTTAACCGACATTTTGCACCGGTATGCCATAAAAAATACATAATGTTCATTGAATAAAGATTTCTATCGTAGTAGCTAACAATAGAAATAAAGACTCACCGTCTTCAAAATAAGGTCCAGCACTGCTCCTCTCCGCCAGGACACACAGGATGAAAAACAAGCTGAAGATACCGATGTTAAGATTCATCTTAACTGCAACAGTTGCCCGATGAAGTGTACAAATAAATCCGACAAGTAGCACTTGAAATGATAAGTGCCGGTTCGATATCGAGGGAACAGTAATTCCTTTTTCTGACCAACGAAGGGAGCAAGTGGAGATGTGATGTGAAGATGTAAAGAAAGGAGCTGCTACTTGTTTGATCGTTCGGAGGGCGAGTGAGTCGCCGCGGAGATGACGGAGCTTATATAGACGACAGAGGCGTGGCTACACCGTCGCCAATAACAGGGTGGTGAAGGGTGGTGGAGGGTGGTCGAGGGTGGTCGAGGGTGGTGGAAAATAGAGGAAACTAGAGGAGAGGGTGAATGTAAAGGTTGCGAGAAACTAAGGGCCAGGGGGTTATATCCCACAACAACCACAGCCACTCGTGTGAACAAAACGCTGAGGCATTAATAAGCAACGAGAGAAGAGATATTCCATGACTTTCATCATTTACCCCAACCCCCAATCGACTACCCTAAATACTCCAGCAACTGGTTGCAATGCAACTAGTACTTCATCTTGACTGAAATATTCAAGTCCACTTGACATTTGTTTAAAAAGAAATGCGTTCAAGTATAACAAGAAAGGCAATCAACATCACGATATGTTATGAGAAATAAAAAAAAGTGGTAATAACAAACCACATTAATAGCAAACGTATCGACGAATTGTCTGTTATGACCGAGGAGAAATAGACCCCTGCTGGCTTTTGTTATTCTTCACTTCCGAATGTGAACATTGTATTCGTCAAAGCCGAAATTTCCCCTTTTTGGGGGCAAGATGACTAATTGCCTTCAGAAATTTATACGTGTCATTTATAAAGGATTAAATCATAAAACACAAAAAAATGAAATATCGAGTGTGAAAAGCATTTGTGAAATTTTGCTCAACTACATTTCAGTGTAAAATTACCGGAAAGATAGGTAATTTCCATGGAATATTTCATATCATGAGCAGTTGACGGTCATTCGAGAATTTCTGAATTACAATAGACAGGAATTTTCCTAGATATTCATAAATTGACTTAATGTTATTCTTCGATTATTCCTTTAACTTCAATCCATTCAGAAGAATATTGATAAGTGGTTCAGTAAAAAAATGATAATAATGCGATGACCTAGGACGTGGGTTGAAGGGAGTTAATTGTTTTGATAAGAGGCACGAATTTATTGATTAATCGACGGTCCATTTACTGCCCTCCGAGCGAAAAAGAAAAGGTTCCACTGGCAGTGGAGAGACGTTTTTTCTTGGTTCAATGGGGGCGATAACAAAGTGGAAATTGATTAAAAGTCGTAATAGTAAATTGTATTGAATTGAAAGCTCAATTCTTGAAAGTTTTCTTTTGTGTTACTGGCAACGAGAATCTGAGGGAATAATTCTACACCACAGTAAGAGCTCGTAATATTTTTCGTTATATCATCAATAAGTAAAAAACGTCCTGAAGTGAGATTCATTGTGTTACAGTTTTTAAAACACTTTCTAGGAAATTTATGATATTAAAATGATGACAAACTAACACTTTAATGGACAGGAAATTAATAAGAAGGCTTCAATGCAAATAAATTGCCTTCAGGGATGAGCTGAATGGAACTTTGATAAGGGAAAAGAAGTTGTGAGAATTTATCCACTTGACTTATTATCCTTCAATAATTTTTAATTGCATTATTAAGTAATGCAGTGATAAATTTTGAATTGAATGTTATTCCATTTTCAACGTGACAACGGAAGCACGAGAATTATTTTCAAGCATCTCCCTAGACAAAAATTCAACGCCCCCGTTCAATAATTAGTATCTACTCATTAGCATTTCCAATTAAAGGGACAATTCGATAATACTAATGAGCATCGCTTGCGAAGATCGTGTAAATTAATTGGTAACCATTTTATTTTTCATGCTTGAATATCATGTTGTACAGTGCGCCTACTCAATGCCCGGTCATTATGTAATGCAATAATTAGTGAAATGAACAGATGGGAAATGTAGAGGAAAAACTTTTTACGTTTTGGAAACTAGACGTCAATTTGTAGAATCCAGGACCTTCAAATTTCGCTACTTTAGCACTTGGATAATTTATTGTTATTGTATTATCTGTAATTTTATTGGGAGAAGTGAATTAAGTAAATCTATTCTCATGACTTTTTTCTGCCCACGGAGTCCATTTCAATTTTCAATATCCATCAAAACCTACACTGATAAAAATCTATTAAAATTGTAGTCATTATCACTTGATTTTTTAAATTATTTCAGGTTGAATTAAATTTCAATTAAAAACGGCCACTAAATTTTTAATTTATCGTGAAAATTTCCAATTACTAACTCCATGTTAAATAATAATGAATTTTTCAACGAAAGCTGGAAATTCGATGCCCATCGCGAAAATTGAAAACCAGATACAATTTCATTTTCAATAGCTTGAAAATTCAGATGAATCATTTCCTGTTTTTTCAATATTATTACGGTTTGTCATTGCCAGTACGTAAAAACGGAAAAATAGAATATTCAAAAAATTAAATGAATTATCAATGAAGAATTATCGAAAATTTCAAGTATATTCTTCCAGCAGTACAGTCTTTACGTTAATTTGATATGAAAAAAATAAAATTTTTGATAGTCAAATCTACATTTATGTTTCAAAGTCATGGTTCACTCACGAAACTTTGATTCACCTCAAAATAAGGCACGCAGTTCTATTTTTCATATAAAGTATAAACTCTTTCGAAGTCCAAAACACTTGACTCATTGCTGCCTATTTGACAGTGTTACATCTAGATTGAAGTGAAGTTTTTTGGGGGGGTATATACTGGTGAGAGTATGGAAGCGATCGATTGCCATCGTGGGTGGAAGAGAAATCATGTCTCTTTTCACTGAAGGGGGACCATCAGCTTCCTTCCATCCTATCCTCTCTCTTTATTTAGCTTTGCCTCTCCTCTCTCCTCTCTCTTGTTTCAACTAGCAAGGTCGTGCAACAAGTTGCTTTGACGTCATCCTCGAATTTTAACTCCCATCCTCTATTATGTCTTTTCATATCCCCCACACAGTTGCCATAAACCAAATGGAGTTATCAATCCTATTTTCCTTTCTAATGATTTCTAAAATTGTGTAACGAGTACAAATATCAGAGATTTTAATACTAACTTAATCAATTGCATAAGAGCCACGGGGTTTCATCTTGCAGAAAGTAAACGAGAGACTTTAAAAGTTCAATTGCGCCGGTATCGACCAAGTTTCTCCCTGAGGTGACAAACTACAACTAATTAAACAGTTGTCTCTCGTCGTTTCATTTTTTTTTATAAAACTTACTCCTGATAAAGCTGGGGTACAGGCAAGAGACTAGATATACCTCGATTATTCTCATTACGTTACCTCGCTAGTTTATTATTTATAAGCTTCACCGAGCAACTGAAAAGTTTCTTGGAATATATATTGGATCAATATCTCTTGAACAAGTACCTTCCATAAAAATCGTACCATGAGACTAGTTTTTTTTTTTCTCTAGAGATACAGATTAAGTAAGAATATATATTTCTGAGTGATACCATTTTTTACGGTACCCAAAAGATATTTTTTGAATGAGTGAAGACACTAATGAATTGGAGTTGAAAGTTTTAGTTGAACTTTTTGTTCTATTCTCCCTATATCTGCCGCATGGGAAATCCATTACAAATCATCACGATTCCATCTGGTTTTACATCGAAACTTCATTGAAGAGGTGAAAGCAATTCATGAAGAATGAATTTACTAACACTAACATTTGAAAAATTCAGTATAAATTACCTAACCGGTTGAAAAACGTGTTGTTTTGACCATTCAAAAAAAAAATACTTATCTTCTAATAATTTAGTAATTTAATCTAGTAATTTTTTTCAAACGGTTTTTAAAAATTTAATGTGTATAATACAGTAATTTCTACATAAGACCACATGTATAATTTTTATTTATATATATTGATTGTATATTGATTTTTACGTTATATAATTTTTCGTTAATATATATATAATGATATATATATACATCTCAATTATTTTAAAGGGAAAAATGGTAAATCGTAGTGTTTATCGGGGATTTTCCAAAACTACGAAAAGAGATTATGATATAATTTTAATGCGACCACATTTTTTCTTCAGATACAGACGCGTAACTGGAAGAATTTGGTTTTGAACTGGAGGGAAATAGAGGCAGACTGGCTATGAATACGACGAGCAGAAACTCGATGACATCGTGTAATTGGCATTCATGATACACGGGGGTGCAGTTTCCTATTTCATCCTGAGTTCACTGTCTTTAATGAGCGATTCGAAACGACCGACACATAAGAACTATATTCGTGCAATTTTTGAGTGGGATTAAAAGCCACTGAAAAAAAAAGAGAGAAAAAAAAATTAAATGCCCTATATTAAAAGAGTAAGGGCAAAATTGCAGCCAATTTCGCTAAAATTTTAATCAAATGGGAGTTTTGTGATAGGATCACAAAAAATCATGTGAAGATGTGAGAACTGAATAGTTTCTTTTAGTATTTCTTTATCAACCACCGTTCTAAGATTTAAAATTGTGGAAAAGATCGAGTAGCTCTTCAATTCAATATTAAGATTGATTTTCAGCGGTAGCGCGCTAATTTTCGATGAATGTACGCAACTACGCCTGTGTGAAACCTAGTTGATTATTATCTGACAAGATGCCTCTGTTCGCTACAATCTTGAGAAAGTTCTCTCGAAAACATCCGAAAATCGTCCATCCTGGTATATTCGAAAATATTCAAAGGAAAATCGCATTTAATATTTAACCATAAGAAATTTTTGTGAACCTCAAAAGTGAAAAAAGAATGTTCGCCAAATTGATTGCTTGTTTCTTATTAATACATTGAAATGAGTCCATCAAAACCATTACAAAAGAAACAGGAATATCTGTATGAAGAGGGACTACGTGAAAATTGGAAAGAAAATCGTCCTGTCAAATGTACGCAATGTCGCAAGTTTCATGAAGGCCATCAAAGTGGTGAGGAGAGTCAATTGCCGGAGATAAAAACATCAGAGGAATCATTCAGTGTAGTTAATTCCGAAGGGAATACTGAGGTGATTAATATCACGAATTTATTCCAAGGATTGAATAAGTTTCTAAAAAGTGCACGAATAAATAGACAAATGATTTTTCAGGAGTACGTGCAAGAGGAAGAGCATCAATCAGTGGAATATCCTTATCACATTTGTGACCGACGTCGAGAAATGAAGCCATACGCAGAGGTGGTCCTCGCGGAATTGAAGGAGCTCCAATGGCGTCGGGATCTTCTGGAACGTCATTATACTGATGGAATTAATAAAATAATGAATGATTATTTCTTCGGAGATCGAAAATTCACCACTGGTCATCCAATGATTACTTCTGGAAATCAAGAACGAATGAGAGCTGGTGGTCTCAAAGTAATTATCTATTTTTGTATTTTTTACACCATGAAAAGGTTTAGCTTATAAATTATGCTACGTTTTGAACTGAAAATATATTCCACATCCAATTTTTTTCCAGTGAAAGCCTTGGAATCATTTTTCATGATGATGCATCAGTCTTTGTGATGAAATAACGTATTTTTAACTTTCTTACTTATTTTTCTATTCCTTCAGAAATTCTTGAAATCAAAATGGAAAACTCATGAAGATCCAGTGAGGAAATTTTGGACTGTTATTGCATGACAAAGATAGAATCAATTAGATAAAATCAAAGATGGACTCAAAAAATTGAGAATCAAATTGCTTTTTTGATAAGGAAAATATGAAAAGAATGATTTAATTTACAATTTACTTTCTTCCCTTTTTTCCCTTTCTTCCTTTTTTTCCCTTTCTTCCCTTTTTTCCCTTTCTTCCCTTATCCCTTAAAGAGCAAAGGGTTTTTCATTTGTTTTCGACTTCAATTAATCGATTCACGTTCAGTACTCGTAAATGAGGATCGATCAGAGAATTGCGGATGAGATAATTTTATATTTTGAATTTTTTTAGTATAGCGGAAGAAACTAGGAAATATTTTCAGTTAATTTTCATCAGTGAATTGATATTCAAATTATTTGTTTTTAACGAGATTTAAAGAAGGAAAAATATGTCCTCTTTGCTCTAATGTCAGTGAATCATTCCGTGAAGTTTGCGACAGCCACAAATGAAACGCGTTCACATTCGAATCCACTCATTAACACCAATCGCCTCAAAATCGACTGAAATCGAATAAGTCGACTAAAAATTCCATTAAATCGACTCATGAACACTAATAGGCTCAAAATCGACTACGTCGACTAAATCGACTAGATCGACGCAAAATGACTCATGAACGTCACTCGACTCATGAACGCCAATCGACTCATGTCGACTCAAATCGACTCATATCGATTTCATTCGTTTTCAGTCGATTTTAGTCGATGTGAGGTCATTTGAGTCGATTAAAAAAAAATTATCTGATAATTTTTATCCTGTCATTGAATTAAAGATAACAAATCATAATTTGTAAACGTTTTGCCAGGTGTGCGTAGCGCGCCTCTAAATGTTCCCGTATAAAAGGAGATCGATAGTCGATCTCGAAAGATCTCGAAATATCTCGAATGACCGTAAGGGCAAAACTCGTAAGATAAAACCGACCCGCCACTACGACTCGTGGCCGAATTTTTAAAAAGAGAATGTAATGTCATGTTTGCTAACTAAAATGGCTATTTTGTGACTTTTAGAAGAACCAGTCTCCTGGGATACGCTTAGAATGCGGTTGTATACACAACTGTGAGAAAACTCGCCAAAAAATTTTATCAAACTCAACCCGTTTTCCATCAACATCAGTCAATTACTCCAGCGAATGTAAGACAAGATGCCCTTCAAGATCCGAAGCTCTTCGTTCTTCCTGAAATACTCCACTATACCCCTGTTTGAATTGAATAATACAGAAAACAATATGACAACCTCACATCTCTTTCAATTTTTCTTCTATCGTTGCAAACTTCGCGTTTAGATCATTTCTGAATGAACCTTCAACCTCAAAATTTTGACTAATATAAATACAAAATTACTATGGACATAGATGAAACAATTTCTCGACTCAGTTTAACTTTAGTTAAAGCCGTTATTCATTACGTTGCATATCGACTAGTAGTATTTATCCTTTTTCGTGCGAAAAATGCATTGGTTAATTATTTAAAAACTGTTTTTGAGCCTGTGAGTAAAAAAAGATCAATTGGTACATCAAGCGCAGAGCTATACCTCCCACATAAAAATCGATCTGAGTGATGTCTCCTTTTACGGTAAGCAGAAGCTATTTTCCAAATGAATAAATACAGTAATCCCTACCTATGTGTGAATTACAGTCAAAAGTTCTTGTTTGAGTCCATTGAGTCGAAATGTCTGGCACGATAAATCCCTTTGCAACAACAAATCATGACGAATTCGTTTGGCCTCATCCATTGCCTTCAAAAATCACACCAAAATTACCACCTAAAAATTCTCATAGAAGACCCTTCATGTCTAGGATGGACCCAGACGAATGCGAATGTCCTGTCCACAACATGGACACTTCTCTTAGCAGGTGAAGATAATTAATAAAAAATTAATTGATTAGCCAAGCCGTAACCCTGTGTCAATCTATGTGCAGAAAATCTATATATTTTTTGCGTGAGGGTATATAATCCGTTTGATCTCCAGATACAAAAAATTAGCTATAAAAGAAAAGAATCTCTGCAAAAACATAGCACAAGTTAATCAACAAATGACGACATTGCTGTCCCACATGTTGGAAAATGCCGACTCCTCAGAAGATGTGATGCAAAGTGTGTATCAGTCAGCTTTCGATGGAAACCAAGTGCTCTCCATGAAATACAGGCCATTGATGGCAGCAATAGATGCACCAGTAAATTCACCAATTGTCCCTGTAATTTCTGAACTCAAAACTGGATACAGAGATCCAATTAGATTCCGATACAGTCCAGTAGAGATCCCTGTTATTGAACCAGCTGACCCGGTTGATTTTTGTCGAGGTAATTCGATAGTTAAACAATCCATAGTCTTTCAATTTTTATGAAAGCGCAATGAATTTACTATTATTATTTTTCCATACTTGTAGAACCTGAGCAATTGTCCACGTGGTTCACACCTTTCACAGGCAGATCTGTGTACATGGACACATTCAGTAAACTTGGTCTTAGCAATATGAAAAATCAACAGCAGTACAGGGAACCTCTGCCATCGTCGAGAAGACGATGGGGAGATTGCAAGCTTTAAATTTTTTTTTCAACCATTCAATATTGTGTGAATATAGCTTCTTTCTGACAACAAATGCTCGATGAAAATGAAAATTAACCTTCATTAAAAAATATTTAGATACGAAAATCAAAAGTGTCAGACGACAATGAATGATATTTTCAAATCTGAATATAATTCCAAATACTCAACCCTCCACCTTCCAGGAAAATCACAGTAAGTCACCGAATAAACGTTGGGAATGTACTTTTTAGGAAATTTTATTCAATAGATATCCTCATTTCGACTGTTTTCAAAACTCATTGCACAAGGAGCAACAGATTGATCAGCAGCTCGCTGCTTCTTGGACACTCAGCGGCGATCAAGCTGAGAAACTAATTAAAAAATTATACTTAGAGAGATTGCAGACGGTTTATAAACTGGACTATGGAGAGCCAAGTAAATTACACCCTTGTTGCACTTGCTGAATTCCGTTACTCAATCCCAGTACTATTCCAGCGGTAGAAACAAATACTAAAGAGCGAGACTCCGTATCCGTACAAAAAAAAAGTAAAAGGAAAGGAAAACAATTTAAGAGTGAACTTCTTAGGTATTTAGATGATTTGTATTGCAATCCCCATGACGAAAAAGTTCTTGCACCTCCAATAACTGCTAAAAGAGGTAAAAAGCCAATTTTTTTTACATAATTTTAACCCTTGAAAAATGAGCGTGAAGATAATGTCATTTTATAAAATCCTGCCTACGGGACAATGTGAAAAAATATCATTCATCACTCGGCCGAAAAGAATTTTTCATCATGATATGACGAAAAGTAACTTTTCAGATACTCTCTGCTTCGCTTCGCGTGCCTAAACACTAATTTTCCCGCACATTGTGAAGAAAAATATTGTTCGCAACTCGTGCAGAAAGTGATTTTTGGTGAAAGTGAGAGGTTTGTAGCACGAGACGAAGGCAAGTGGGATAATGCCACATGTCTTTTCTGTAGTTGTCATGATATATACTGTTTTAACAATCGCGAGAAAAGTGTTATTAGCCCCATGAGAGGGGGGTAGTACTCATCTTTGAACTTTATGCACAAACTCGCGCGGGAAAAAGTCCTACTTTACGTACTAGTCAGACGATATACTATAAAATACGATATATTGTAAAATTGCGCTAATATTTATAGATATCAATAAAGATTCATTTGACATTGTATTCAGCGTCGCCATTGATTGAAGGTAAAAAAATGTTCTTACAGTTTTCGGATATGCAAGCCCCAATTACCTTCATCGTATTTTGTCATCATATCAAGCTACGATTGGTCGAGATGGAGCGACAGTGTTGTTTAACAATGCAGAATTAATATCAAAAGGGTCCGAAAATTAAAACACTAGATGAAATTGAGAAATAAAGAAATATCATGTTGTTCGAATTCGACGAAGAGACAAGGGATTTTGTGACCATCTACGATAGAGATTACTATCCTAAGCAGAGAAGTCGTGGCACTAAATATATCCCGCCCACAAGTCTTGGATCTTCTTCAAATTTTTATAAAGATGCCTATTATACGAGGTATCAGCTGGATTATTCAAGAAATCCAGGTATGTTTTAACATCTATAGCTTCGTATATATTCTTTGAAAAAAAAACCAATGAAATTTCATGGACTGTAAATTATCAATTTTCAGACGACTGACACTGAATGCAATTGATTTTAAATTACTCAAACACATCTTTCAGATGAATACTTTCCCCTGTGCAAGAAACAAACTGACGTAGGTGCACCACATCTACGATTGCCTAATGATTGGATCATTCCTGAAACAGTTCACCGCAAAACTTACCGCAATATTCGAGAAATAATGTCCTCTGTGGCTGGCATAGGTGTTCGAAAAATGATGAAACATCCGAACAATTTAGATCCAAACATGGAACAGAGGAAAATCTTGAAAGTCAGAACTGGTGACACGGAATATATGGCTGCGATTAGCTCAACTGGTGACAGAATTCTTAGAGAAAAAATTCTACAAGGAATGAAATCATTCAGACCATCGAAAAACATTAAAATTGATTGCTCGGCAATTTCGAAGAAGCCGAAATAAAGATTTTGAAAGAACGAATTATTCATTGATTTACCGCAAACTATAGTGACCCCCGAAAGTCTGCATTATTAGATGAAAATATTCCGATATCTTTGACCTGAATGAATATATTTTTGTCAATATATTTTACGGACCAAATGACAAAAAATATCGTTCGTCGCTCGGACGAAAAGAACTTTTCTGACGATTGTGTTCACATTTCACGACTTCGCCTTGGACTATAAACTCACAATCGCCAGAAAATTCCTAACGGCTTAGTAACGAAATGTATTATTTCAGGAGAGCAATTTTTTTGTCATTCTTGCAAGAATGAACAGTCGGGTGCTGTTCAATTGATTCAAATAAACAGAGACAAATCAGACATGAAGAAGTAGTATTCAAAGACTCACGATTTTCCCTCTTATGTATGGTGTCTATTCAAATATATTACCCATCCTCTTATCTTTTCACTTATATATATTTTTTTGGTTCTATCCTTCAATTCACATATGTACAAGTTTTCCCATAATTAATTACATTCTCCCTCACTCCGCAGAATAGTAACTTTCAAATGAATTAAAATTAATCAAAAACATTTTTCTCTAAAATCATAACTTTCCTTATCCTACTAACCATTAGTGGTGAATTATGAATATAAGTACCGAAACGTGGAAACTATTATTCAGTGGATAATGAATAGATTGGTCGATAATTGTTTACTGATTTCCATGATTCATTCTGTCTACGCGTAAAAAAAATGGATTTCATAAAACTTCAATATCGAGACCAATATATTCATTAGTCATGGTGAGACATCTTAAAAAAATTATCCCTGACTTCAACTAATTTTTGTACTGAATGTGCAGCCCATGAGGACTTTGATTCAATTATCATCCGTTACTTTTTCAATATATAAAAGACTCAAGGAAACTAATACAGTGAATAATGACACATCGGCATGTCTCAAGGAGAAATACGTATTTCCACGAAGAGCTCAACGAAAATTCATTGAAAAAAACTTTTATTTTAAGCGAGACTTCCCAGCTGGATGTGAAGTAATGCACAGCTGATACAGCTGAATTAGAAGAACAACCGTTCCAGTTCAATTGCTTTCTCAATTATCTCTCTTTGAGCCTGTTGATATAAATCATCATGTATGAAGACTTCATCATTCGTATCCATTCCCTTTTAGAGCTTATACATTATATTTTTATCTAATCCAGCTAAGATGACTGCATCATGAAAATAAATTCAGCGACTAAGAGAATGAACGAATCAAAGTGATTTTAACTTATCATCAGGTTTTGCAATAACAAATTCTAGTAGCTCTTAGTTTTCCCTGCAATAACGATGATTCATTATAATTGATTTGAACCATTGCATCTCTTCGTTACTGAAATTACATCGCATATTTCTTCCAATTGAAAATTTGACATTATGCTCGTCTAGAATTTTCCCTTGTGATCCTTATTTCTCTTCAGAATACATCAACATGTATTTCCCCGACAAGCTATAATCGATCAAAAATAAATCAGGTGAAATATATATATATATGCACACATATATATACATATACACATCTATATATATATTTACACACCAGACCCACGTGGTTTTAGGAAGAAAACCGACAGAAATTATAATGAAAATAAAAAATTTGAATATATTTACAATCCTTGAAAGGCTGATAACGGACTTGCCCTTCCTTTCAAATTGATTTGTTAATCTTTTCAAAGTGATTTATTTAATTTTCAACGACCGTCAGACGTAACTATTCCGCTATCCCCAATCATGTCAGGTAAGGAAGCACCACCAGATCCCTAGAAAATAATGGATAGCATGATTATTTCTCGAAATCACCAACAAATATCATCGAAAATTGTATGATGAAAGTACCTCAATGATGATGGTTGATCCCATGTTATCAGTATTGTGATGCTGCACACTTCCTTGACTCGTTGGCAACGAAATCGTTCTTATGGTATTTGTGCTCGTCGACGTCGATATGTGTTGAGCGATCATAGCATTTTGATTATTCCTGGAATATTAATTCGTATATTAAAGTAAACTTCCCACACTGACAAATCTGTAGTGAATTTGTAGAACGTGACTTTCTCAAAAATATCTCCGAAATTACGAGAAAGAGAAATTTCTGTATGAACCTTTTTCGTAAAACCTCTTGAGAACTAACAAAAAAGTTATTCCAGAAATTTCGTTGCCCTCATTGACTCGGAGATATTTCAATAGAATAAAATCTACCGCAGAGATTTGCGAATGCATCTCATTTTACCACTTTACTATAGAATTTTTTAATTTACCTTCGCTTTTTCACTTGTCCAGAGTGAAATCGTCCACCTTCTCCTCGAATCCTGTTCATGGCATGGCGATGGCGTGACTCGTGAAGATATTTCTGTATAAAAAAATTAATTACCATTAGGTAAATCTCCATTATGAAATACTTTGAGGAAATTTCGATGGAGAAAATACTGAAGGTGCATACCGGTCTTTCTTTCGGGATTTTACCCTCTGCCTCGAGTTTGGCACGAGCTTGTCGGCGTTTCAAAATTCGTCTGTACTGTTTTGCATTTACATAAAGTGGTTCCTCTTCCAAAAATTCGGCATTTGGTAACTGCACTCGTTGAAATTGGGCTTGCCCACTGTTTCCAGGTACCATCTGTACTTCCAATCAACGATATAATAGATGTAAAAATATATATTCGGAGAAAATTAGAATAAAATGAACATCTTAACGTCTAGGAAAATATTGATAACTCATAACTCATAAATCATGAATTCGTTTTTAAATCGCATTTTGATGACGTGGAAAAGGCGATTGAAGGTGTCCATTTACCCAACTTTCCTCGAATATTTTGGGAGTACATATAAATGAAATTATTGCAATTAAATAATCATGCACATGCCACTAATGTCGCTCTGTTATCACTACTAGCCAGTATATCATGGTACACAGACTAAGCAAGTGAAAGAGACTTTCTGAACGTATTCACCATAACAATATTTCCTGCCTGAGGTGCTGCTGCTGTTGGACTCGACATTGGTTGCACTGGAGCTGTCGTTGTAGCTGTTGTTCCTTGTCCTGTTGCTCCAGCAATTTGCATCAATGTGCCATTCACGTTAATAACTGAAAATTAATATTATTGATTATACAGCAAATCATCGTGCTGATCAATTTTAGTGGAATGAAGAACACATGACTGCGAATAATAATTCGCCGATCTGATTTTTCAAGTCCTCCCATTTTTTCCCCTTCAAAATAATTGCAGGGAAAAATTCTCCCGGAACGACAATTCCTTCAAAAAGAGATGAAGTACCTGTGGGCTGTGCCTGTTGGACTTGACCATCCAACTGAACAGGCTGATAGATATAAGTTTGTCCATCTGGAGTCTGTATAATCTGTGGGGTTTGTGGCTGCTGAATAACAATCTGTTGTCCTGCCCCAGCAAGTGATGTCATCATTTGAATCTGTCCATTTGGGGCTGCAACCTGAATAGTCTGTGGTAGCATCATAGCCTGACCACCTTGTCCCATCTGAACAACTTGAAGGGCTGTTCCACCAGCACCTCCAACAACAACAGTCTGACCCTCCCCTAGCTGGTCCATCTTGCGTTTGTACTATCTATTTAAAAAATAAAAAAGTAAGATCAGTTAACCTCTACTTCAATACAAAATAGATAAATTCATTCGAATTAATCATCACCTCACTTCTCATAATTTTCATTAGAGAATCAGTGAATAGATATAACACTTGTGTTGACGATAAACATCAGTACGAAGTTTCAAAGACGGAAACTGAGGTTGTCAGAGGTTAGCCAGGAAAACACTGAACGTTGGAAACTCTAGACTGTCTGAGAAGCAACTCAATGTTTCACCCAACAGACGCACCTTATCCATTATCGTAAAAGTTTAAAATGTATAGAACCGCTCGTAGCTCACACATTCTAATAAACCAACACTTAGCAACAATAATATTGTGACTTATATCGACGAATTATCCGATTTAAGTGAAAATATCGAATGGATGTTTATGGTTAATGAGAGGGAATTGGTTGGAAATAATAGTGTTTGGTTTGTGGCACGACAAACATGGCCGTTGACAAGGGATTTAACGTATTGCGAGGACGCGTTGTAAATGCCTCGAAAAAAAAAACACTTTATCTAAGATGAAAACAAATAGTATGTATAATTGTTATAAGGTTGAGGTGAATGACGATGCCCGCGCTTAGCGTTGGCAAGTGTTCGATAATTTGTGGACTTACATTGGATATTTTCGTGGGCACTTTCCCAATGATTGGTCGGCAAATTGAGGACCAATGGTCGACGATAGCGAGTCCTCGGCCCTTGTGTATTGGTGGTACTGAAGGGGGGAACTGCCAGTACGATGCAAGCCCGTTGCAACACCGCTCGATGCCCCTCCGCTCGCTAACTCATGCCCAATCACAACCCAATATTACCCATCCCCTCACCTCGCCACCCCCTCAACCTACCAATAAATTCCGCTAAACCTCACATCAACGGCGCCACCGACGTTTCCCGCCTTCTATTTCTATTTCAATTTCAATTTCAACTGCTAGAACAATATATTCAATTATTTAAAACTCATTGTTATCTTCATAAAACAGAGTAAAATAGCGCATACGATAAAATCCGAAAATTCAATGAAAGACCAGGAAATTTCAGAATTTTATTACACTTAACTGACAAACATGTTAAATTCCTATAAAAATCGAAATGTTTTATTGTAAAAGTTTTAGAGTTTTTGTTCGTGGAGAAGGACTCCACGGTTAGAAGTAAAAAATGATCGATTAAATTTAGATACTGTATTTTTTGAGAATGCTAAAAAGCGGATAAAGATTGAAAGTAACAGTATAATTCAAAGAAGAAATTGAAACAGTAAAAACCATTGAGATATTTTTAGAACGTCCCCAACAGTTTTTAGCAAATAATAAAAAATGACCGGAAGTGAGTTAAAAACATCTTTCCGCTATAGTGTCATTATGCCGTGTCCCATTTTGCCCGAATTCCCCCTATCTGCTGTTTTTTCATGGTATTATAAAAGTACATAACTAATACATTCAGTTCAGTTAATAATCATATTAAGGACCGATTGGATTATCTGGAAAAGATAATTTACTCTAAAATTGGGATTCCTAATTACTCTGGCAATTAATCATTTTTTTCAATAATTGTTAGCTAGGGTTCTAGCGGTTGTCAGAGTTGTCGGTTGGTTCTAGAACGCTAGCTAACAATTATCGGAAAAAACAATTAATTGTCGGAGTAATTAGGAATCCCAATTTTGGAGTAAATTATCTTTCCGAGATACTCCATCCGGCCCTTAAATTAACTGATGTAACAATTTTAAAATATTTTCACGTATACATTATTAGTGAAAAAAAAAATTCCATGAACTGAGTTATGCGGCAAAGAAGGGTGACACTGTTCATTACATCAGAAGGTTTCAATTACAATTGTTTATTGACGGATCTGTTAATTTAAAAAAAAATTCTGGCATCTTCTCAATTTACATACGGCAATGAAAACCCGTGCAAATGTCGAATATTTTTATTTAATTTTTATTTAATTGTATCTTATGTTGAATGTTTAAGATAAATAAGAATTTTAATAACCGGTTTTAATTGAAATCACAATTAAGAATATTAGGCGGAATAAACTTGTAGAAATTGCATTTTATCCTCTGAATTAGGATAACTCTAAAAATCATTGTGAATTACGATAATATAGCCTTGGCGCTGAGAGAAATATTCAAATATAAATATAATATATAATATTCAATGCATTTGTTATCCCAATTTCCTGGAAAAGAATAACACAGTTACTGACATTTTCTCAGGACGCATTAACATTTCGCTCTGTGTATGAGTACGAAAACATAAATTGTGTCTATAATTATCATAAATAGCGAATGCATGAACATTTCTGAAATATAAAATTAGCTTGAAAGTTTTTAATTAGATTATCCAATATTGGAAATGCCATTCTACTACTTTTTGAGTTTCTATAAAAATCTGTAGTTTACATCATCACTTTAGTGATAACTTGATTATCTTCAGCAGTTATTTCCCAAGTTTTCGCTCCTAGTAATGAATATGAAAAATCGAAAACTGGCTGGAAAAAGTTAATGCTTATATGTACGTAAAACACACTCTTCCCTCTCGTGACTCTGATAACATCGACTTCATGGTCGACAGATTATGTAGAAATTGAAAAAAAAACAACGAAAGAAGGCAGTTGACCAGAACAAGAGCTCATGAGATGAATTTTTTTACACCGTTAAAAAAATGGTTCCATGGTGTAACGGTTAGCACTCTGGACTCTGAATCCAGCGATCCGAGTTCAAATCTCGGTGGGACCTTGAATTTTTATTCTTTTTTTAATCTTTTTACGTTTCTTCTGAGATGTAAAAAACAACAAATCAATAAAATTAAATAGCCTACAGTCGTACAGACACATGTATTGTTTTGTTTGTGTTGATAAATGATGTGTGACGCAATTTTAATGATCATTAGGGGAGAGGGGGGCGCCACTTGATGGTTCAACTACTCCATACAACTTAGTGTACAAATGTACACCTCGGTTTCACTTATTTTCTACCTTACGAGTGTGCCTGGCGAATTCGAATGGATAATAATTATACCCACAATGACAATGAATGGGAGATACAAAAACGGCAGTAGACTGAAATAGTTGGAAACTCGCCGGCCGGTGAGTGAAAAAATAAGATCGGCTTGTTACTTTTGGCTCCAACTAGTTCGAGCTACGCTTGCAAATATAACGAAATGGCAGACAAGGCTGTCCCAGTAAATGGAATGATTCAAGAAATTAAAAAGGGTAAAACAATCCTGACTGCTGAGCCTTTTGCCTTCGTCCTCAGCGAGCAACACAGGAAAGAAAGATGTGATCAGTGTTTCAAGAGGTATTTTATCTCCTATTGATTTCCCAAATCAAACATTTAAGTTTATTTTCCATTATTTTTCAGCTCGAAAATATCCAGATGCGCTGGATGTCAATACGTTTATTATTGCGGACGAAATTGCCAGAGAAAGGCTTGGGCAATTCACAAAATAGAGTGTCCTAACATCAAGCGAATTCATCCACGTGTCCTTCCTGATGCAGCACGAATGATGGCGAGAATAATAATAAAATTGAGTCAGAATGGGAGAGAGGAACGGGGATACTATACTCCTACGAAATACAGAGTTTTCGACGACTTGATGTCACGTAAGGTGTTTGCCATTTTCACCGTTGGAGAAATTCAGAAAATTCAATTGAATTACTTCCATTCACAGACGTCATTGATATCAAAGAGGATATGAAGAAGATGGAGCATTTTACTTCATTGAGCATGGTCTTATTGGAATTTTTACCTAATGACATATTACCAGATGTCAAGGAATTGTTGGCGATATTTGGACGTATGAGTGTCAATTCTTTTAATATTCTTGATACTGATATGACAAGTCTGGGAGTGGGAATATACTTGGGACCGTCAATTATTGATCATAATTGTAAACCAAATGCCACCGCTGTTTTTGAAGGAACAACACTTATGATACGAACACTTCATGATTTGCCAGCTCTCGATTGGTCTCAAGTGAGTCTCCACTAATCATTACTAAAATTTCAAATTGACTCAAAATCTCGGTCAAAATAAATGGCATCCCTTGCTTGTTATCTCATGATATTTTTATCAATTCGCGATTATTGCATCAATGATTCTTTAAATATTCGCATGGATACATCGAGTTTTTTAATAAAAGTTATATCTTTGTCAATTGATAATTGATCAAGTATCTAAGGTAAATAATTATTCATTTCCTCCGTTCCTTGGAGAAATCCAAAACTCTTGCTGTACTCTGATGTTAGAGATTTTGTTCTGAAAAATTATTGTTATTTGGATGCAGATTCATATAACGTATATCGACGTACTGAAGGACATGGAAACAAGACGTGCAGAGTTACGGAAATCTTACTATTTTCTGTGCGAATGTGAGAGATGCAATACTCCGGAGACTATTGAAATTGCTGCAGCTTGTCCTAACAAAACATGTACATATCCATGTCAATCAACCGATTCACATTGCCCAAAATGTTGTGAGGAGTTTCCAGAGGGTTTCAAGGAATGTTTTGATGAAGTCTGCGAATTGTCTGTTTACCACCTGGAGAAAATGGCCCATACGGCATGTAAGCGTAAGAAATATTGACATTTTTTAATAAAGTCAATGTCGAAGGAAATAATTAATCTTGTGCGTAAATTTAAAATACGCAATACCCTAAATTTTCAACTTCAATGAGTCCTGTATTTTTTTAATTGAACTGAAATACGTCGTGACTTTTCAATATATTTTTATTTTCTTTTATTCTGATTATTTTTTGAGATACATATTTACTGATCCTCAGAAGAAAATAGAGAATAATTTCATGTACTCCTGTATTCAGATTTAGATGCAGCCAGAATGTGCTTGACAAAACAAGAAGGTATTCTGCATCCGTACAATCTGTTGGTGGTTCGTATGTTGGAAATGGCTCTGGCTGCTACTATGGACTTGGAACGGTGGGAAGATGCTGAGGTTTATGCCTCTCAATTGACTGGTAGATATTTGTAAGTGAAGAGGTTTTAATCTACTTGCAGTGCCTGCAAAATCATTCAATTATTCTTATTTCCCGTTTTTAGATTTTACTTTGGTGAAACTCATCCAATGACTGGCCAAGTTCATTTTGTACAGGCAAAACTATTCTCCTTCCAGAAGAAAGGTCGTTTGGCCTTGGAATCCATAACCAAAGCTGCTCAATTAATAAAAATATCATTCGGTGAGGATCACTCAAAGATCAAAAACGAAATTAAACCACTTCTCGATCAGCTATTAGCTGAATATCATTATGGAAAAAATGGTTTCTAAACAGTTGATATGATAATTATCATTCTGACAATTCCGAAATCGTGTGGAATATTAACAAATAGAAACGATAAAAACATCTTGTAATAAACTTGTTGAAATAAATGTATTTTATACTAGTTATACCAATCGTTCACCACGATCTCTACTAATGAACACTATTTTATCCAAAAAGTGAGTTTATTACATGAACTTTGTTCGTTACATGTATACTTTATCTATACAAATTTTTTTTTCTGTTTTCCCCTTTTTCTCACTCGTCTCGTTTATTTTTATCATTATATTCATTTACTTAACAAAATGTGTATGGAAATGATGAAAGAGTAAGACTTGTAGATTGGAAAATCATGGAATCTCATAGATTTAAAAAAGTTGATGTTGCAGAAGTTGGAAAGTTCGGAGAGGCGAAAAGCCCAGGAAGCTGAGTAACACTCAGACGTAAGGGTTTTCTAGAGTTGAAAAACATTTAATTAAATTTAGCTAATAAAAGTAGACGCAACAGAATCTATATGCTAGCAGTCAAAAATAATCATTAAAATAGATTCTGCAATATCTTTTTAGATCCACAATTGTTGTCGTCGGATTTAGGTATTGGAATTAGTGAAGGGACATAAAAACAAGGAAACAATGTTATCAACTCGCAGAGTAGAAAAGTTGAATGAATCTATTATAATAGCGATATTTCCACTCAACACGTTCCGCCTGTTTGTTGCTGGTAAACTTCAATGGTATCACCTTCCTCCATTTCGAGGCTAGAAGGAGTATCTGACTCATCAATCGCTTGTCCATCAAATCTGAATCTCACAGCAGCAATTGCCAGACCCTTTTCACGACAAATAAAAAGCCTCATTTTAAATTAGACGCAATTTATCATAAAGTAAACAAACAATTTACCTCACGATCACAGTAGGCACTCATCAGTTTTCGAAGGGGTGTGTGTTTTTTTATTTTGAATTGAACAACGGCATTATCTTGACCAAGAACCTTAAGGTTGATGTGCTCTGTCTCACTTTTTGTTTCCTGAAAAAAATTATTTTTAATTTCATACTTTATGATTGTTGCAATCAACGAATATAAAGGGGGGAAAATGCCGAGTTTGAGGTTAAATATTCTTACCTTCTTATCTTCCGACATGATTCTGGAGAATGACCTTTCTGCCAATTAAAAAACAGTATTGCTTGGAAGAAGTCAATGTAAAACAACAAGTGGTAATGTCTGTCTATTGACAAATGTTAATTTATTACAAAGCCCGCTCTTCGAGTGCCTCTTGTACATTCGTTTTCACCAAGTTTAGTTCTATCTGACGTTGGTTCTGATTTTCAAATTGTATTGTTAACTCACTTCAGGTCAATGTACAATTTTGCCTCGTTAAATCCCATTTCTAAATTCTCAATAGAAACACTTCTATAATTTACGTTTGTTTTTTTAATTTATGAAAGGGATCGTGATTGTTTGATCTAAACGAGAATCTAGTATCACAATATAATTTATAGTGTTTGAAAAATAAGGCGGGTAAGAAGCTGCGTTTGAAATTTTCTTTTTTTCAATTACTCTAGAATAATATTGTTCAGTTAATTCCATCTAAAACGTAATCAATCTAAAACGTAATCAAACCGTAATAAAGATTAAGGTTTCACTTTTTTTTTGCAATTATTCGAAATACGTAAATAAAAGGAACGCCACGCATTCACTAAAAAGTCACTGATAGAATTTTTCATGAGAGTAGAATTCTTTATTCGTTGTTTGTACAAAATACACTTGGAAGATTCTTCACGGGTTGGTACTGAAATGACTCATTACATTTTCACTTGTAGAAGTAATCAAGAGATCTATTTGTTTCGAAGTTCTAAGAGAATAATGCTATTGATTACGTCCCCTTTGTCATGTCGCTGAATTACTTGATCATGCTATTTTGAGTCAATGCTTCTCAGTATTGTATAACTTGTTCTTTTAAAATAATCTATGCAGCAAATATTTTACGCAATTACTCAATGGAAATTGATTTTTCTATAGCAATGGTAACAATCAAAATAAATAAAATTTCCAATTTCAATTGAATATAACTTATTAGCAGCTTCGAACTTTTTCCCCCTGCATCATAAACAATGCATTGATCCAGCCGATTCAATCTCCTTAAAAAAGTTCGTTGTCTTGGATAAATTTGAGATTTTCCTTCGAATAAAATAGTCCAGTACATAGAGTTGAGGCAATCCAAAATGATGCAAAAACTCGAAAAGAAAACCATAAGATGTTCATTGGCCAAGTAAGAAAAAAATTAATAGTTCGAGGCTTTCTTTTTCTGTGAATGATTTTCAGAACCTGGGTAACTATTGTATTTGTACCATTAAGAATGTGGAACAGGTAAATGAGAAATATCAGGTAGTATTCCAAGATCACAATGGAATAACAATTACAAACGATTCTCTGGTATCCCCAGGGAAGTACATCAATGGAAAACTCAAGTATCCAGGTACAGGATTTACGGATAATGCGAAATAAGGGTCACACCTTCGAGTTTATGGAGTGCAGGGTGGGCGGATAATTCTCTGAATTATGGAAACGGTTATTGAATATTCGTGGAATAATATGGAAAATATACTAATTGTTGTGTTTTTCAATATCTTAGTAGTGATTACACTGTTGGTGGGAGTTGAAAAGAGAAAAAGTGAGTAATTATAAATCGGAGTGAACAGCTAAGGTAGCTAATACATGAAAATACATGATACTCATTAGCATTACCATCTTAATTCCTAAAGTAATTGAAATACATGATTTAGGAAAAAAAAAAGTATGGTTTTAAAAAATAAGATTTGACATGCCTGTTGGCGGTAGTTGAAAAGAGAAAAATTGAGTAATGGGAGCATGCGCAGTGCGAAAATAGTGTGTACGTGCCGGATGGGGTGGCTGTTAGTGGCGGCTGGTGAACGTGGTGGAAGTGGTGAAGAAGAGAAAGAGGGAGAACAGGGAACAAGGCACTGGAAGATCGTTTGGATGAAAGGTGGGGTGAGTGGAGAGGAGAGGAAAGCATTCGAGTATTCGACTCAATTCGACTGCGGGCATTGCGGGCCATCTTCAGTGTACATTCACTATTCAGTGCGTGTTGTGACTTATTTTCACAGTGTTGGCATGCATTACCCTCTCTCATTTCTCAAATAAAATGTCATTTGTCGTTTGACCAATAAACGTAAGTATCACGTACCCATTAATACGTCCCTAAAACAACTCACCAACAACCTAATTTGTGAAAAATATTGTGTGATAAATGTAAGTCAAGCAATGATGCTGAACGTGTTATAATTTTCGTAATAATATTGTGCATCTCATATCACCATAGTCGACATTATCACAACAATTTGCCAATTACGTGAGTGAACATGGTTTTGTGCTGTTATTTAGACTGTCTAACGGATAATCACTGCAGGACTAATTTCATGTTGTTATCAAGTTTCCTTGATAGTCTGTCAATAAGAACCATCCATTTTGTTTATGCACCACGCCGCACGTATCGTTCTGAAAACATAGGATCAGTCGTGGTGCGTCTGTATCGTATAACACACCTTGGAACTAGCGCTCTCCTTTTATTATGATCACTGTTTTTTTCTTTTTTCCTTAATTTTTCGTGGATTAACTGGCGGGATGATGACACAAGCGTGCATTGTGACATATTTTGAAATTTAACAAATGTTTCATCTCCTTTTCCGCGAAATCATTGCAGTCTTCGATATAAACAATGGAATATAAATATAAACATGCCGGATACTGACGTTTTATTGTTATTTTCAGTTATAAAAATATGGTGAGCAATACGTCAGGACGCACACCACGTATTCAGGTGTTCCGGCCTACATACGAGGAGTTTAAGGATTTTCCAAAATATGTCGAGTACATGGAGAGTAAGGGAGCCCACAAAGCTGGTCTTGCTAAAGTCATACCACCGCCTGAATGGGTTCCACGAAAGGGTGGTTACGATATTGAGGGTATGGACCTCACCATACCGGCTCCAATTTGTCAAGTTGTCACAGGTAAACAGGGACTTTATCAACAAATCAACATTCAAAAGAAGTCCATGACAATTCAGGAATACCAGAAACTTGCCAATTCAGAGCGCTATGGCACCCCTAAACATTTCGATTATGAAGACTTGGAGAGGAAGTATTGGAAGAACATAACGTACATTGCTCCAATTTATGGAGCTGATGTCTCAGGTTCTCTTACTGATCCTGATGTTAAAGAGTGGAATATTAATCGTCTGGGAACAATACTTGACTATGTGAACAAAGATTATGGAATTTCGATTGATGGTGTTAATACAGCCTATCTCTACTTTGGTATGTGGAAAACAACATTTGCCTGGCACACTGAGGACATGGATTTGTACTCGATAAATTATCTTCATTTTGGAGCACCTAAAACTTGGTATGCCATTCCTCCTGAGCATGGACGGAGACTGGAAAGATTGGCTAATGGTTTTTTTCCTGGAAGTTATCAGAGCTGTCAGGCTTTTCTGAGACACAAAATGTCTCTCATTTCACCACAGATTCTCCGCCAATATTCGATACCATGCAATAAGGTAAATTCATTGACATTTAGTTTGTAACTCATATCTCGGAATTGAAGAAAAATTGTCATTATTTTTTGAGGTAGCTCTCATTTTTTTCTATAAAAAATATTTATGGCTTCTTCAATGAATTCATAAAGATGGATAAGACTCTTCGTAGATCTAGTAGAATTGGAATTGAATTTTAAAAAGTATTGAATTCTAATTACAGATAACTCAAGAGGCTGGAGAGATTATGATAACATTTCCATATGGTTATCACGCTGGATTTAATCATGGTTTTAATTGTGCTGAGTCAACAAATTTTGCAGCTCCACGTTGGGTTGAATATGGAAAAAGGGCAACCCAGTGTACCTGCAGCAAAGATATGGTGAAAATATCAATGGACACGTTTGTCAAACGTTTCCAGCCTGAGAGATATGATTTGTGGTTAAGAGGAGAGGATGTCGGACCTCATCCTGAGGATCCTAGACAGACAGCAGCTCCAATGCCCTCTCAAATGGACCTCATGTGTAGTAACAGCAATGGTGAACTGCCCCAGAGTTATCTGAATGCTCCAAAGAATAAGAGGCATACAATCCACAAGAAGAAATCAATGTCTAGTGGTAATTCTGATGGGAACATTGATGAGTTCGTTGATCGAGCTGATATTCCACCTGAAGTGAAGAAGGCAATTCAAGATTTAGATCTTGAGGAGGATCAACCTGATGAGCAGCAGCTCGAGGTCCTGGAGGACATATGGCTTAAGGCTGGAGAACTCGAGGTGGAAGATGCTAATATTTACGATGACGGTTACAGCCGTAAGAAAAATCGAAAGAGGAAGAAGAAAGCTAATTCAACAGACAAAGAGCCCAGACGTATAAAGACGAAAAAACCTATTAAACTGAGTTCGATATCTGAGATTTCCAGCTCAACAGGTTCATCAAATTCAGGTACAAAACCAAATTATTTGAATATAATTGGTAATTCTGTGCCATGTCTTGTTCTACCTAAAATTACAAACTTGGATAATTTCACTGGGATTTTAGAGAGCGAGGCCATTAAAAGAAATAATGCTGTACTGAAGGGAGATGAGACATCCATTTCTGAATTTTCTGAGGCATCTAAAAAGAAGAAAAAACACTGCAAACACGGAGAGAGGAAAAAACATAAAAAACTCCATGAGCATAAGAAAAAATTGAAAAATATGACAGCAATGAATATGTTCAGTTCATCTCAGCCTTTGGATGTATCAGACGTTGACGTTCAGAGGAAATTAATGGCAATGCCCAGTCTCTCATCTCAAAAAACATTCAGTAAAAAAGACACAACAAAAACTAATTTTTTATCTAGCAGTATTATGTCTCAAACCAGTGAAATTTACTCATGTAATACTCCAGAGAAATCATTAACCAGTGATGATCAATTAGTAACCTCTGACACTCAAAGTAACACAACAAACTCAACATCACACCTTCAACCGGTCATGTTTTTAAAACAAGAAAAATCAACAGATACTATTGACTCAAACACATCATTACTGATCTCGCCCACAACATCAGACACTTTTACTGAAACCAAGCCATTCACATTCACAACGTCTCTAGTTGGAAAACCGATGATGAGTTATAAAAATGATCTCATAAAAGCTCCTAGACTCAGTGTTTTGAATAAATCAGGGGTTATAAAAGAGATTAGGTCGTCTGAAGCGCACGTCAAGGAGGACAGGGAAGCTCTGAGTGCAGCTGACAGTCTTTTGGTCCTTAAACAGACCCCTTCAAGATTATTGACCGACTCAAAGACAAGTATCTCTTCAAATACAAACCTCATGTTCCTGCAGAAACCAGTGTTCCCACATAGTCTTTCAAGAGATTGCCAAATTACCGGATCAAGTGTAATGGAATCCAACGAGTGGCACGATCAAATTGAAAAATTGAAGACCATAAACACATCATTTGTTCCAGAAACATCGAAACCCCTAGTCAATAATCATAGCAATTCAACATCAAAGCCAGCGTTCACCTTTACTTTCGATAGACCACCTGTGAATCCTAATATATCGAATGACCAAGGGAACAAGTCACCTGAGAGTGGTAACGTTGTGCAGAATAGATTGTGGCAAGTATCCACAAGTAACGCTATTTTCTATGCTGCTGAGCCACCTGGAGAGATGAAGCCCCCTCAAACATCGACGATTACAGGGACAGGCACTTTACATCTCAATAAATTAGGACAAAATTCAGTACTTGTAGCTCCACAAAATGACAAATTCTTGACAACCAAATCATTCCCAATTGGACAGAAGGCCTTCACACCGCCAAGTCTTGGAACTTCACTCCTCAAAATCTCTAGAAATAATAACGAAGGAGATATTGTAATACCACAACCTCAATATCCTACAAATCTAAAAGTACAAACACCAGTAAAAACCACAAAGAGACCTCCAAGGAAGAAAATACCTACAAAATTGTCAAGAGCGATACAAAATACAGAAGGGATTTATATGGGAGTAATTGAGCCTAAAATGTGTTCTATCGCCACTCAAGTCGACAATTTGACTCCTCTCGAGGATGAAATAACATTTGCAACACTTCCGGCAAACAGCGACCCTCCAGAAATCATATGTAATCCAGATTTAACCCCCACACAACCATTGATTCCTGTTCCATTATCAATTGATGCCACTGGAGAATCAATCAAGTCTTCATTACAAACTTGCATTGAATATACATCATCACTATCATCCCCTGAGGCGATGCAGAATGGAAATGTCAGAGTAAAGAGATCCGCAGCATCAAAAAGGAAACCAAAGGATAAACCGATTAAATCAAGACTAACGGATTGTCAAGAAGACATCGACTTGCCACCACCAGTGCTCAGCATCGAATCAAATTACCCAAGTCCCAAACAGGAGATCATAAAGACACATTCACCAACAATAGCTCATTCTGGTCAAACAATACCTGGACACATCACGACGATGCTATTCCCCAATATACCAGATTTGGAGACTCTCAAGAGCTTCAATGACTACTGGAGTGCTCAAAAATCTCACTGTGCAATATGCACAGCTTTTGCCGCTGCAAACGACAACAATTATCGTCAAATGCCGCCAGATTGGAAGTACTGTAAGCCAACAGTATTACCAGAGAATTCACCGATTTTCGTATCATCTTCATTATTCGCAGCGAATTCTAAAGAGCAGAGTGTGGAGCCTGAAAATGATAAATTGTTGAGATGTCGTGAGTGTCGTGTGACCGTCCATGCCTCCTGCTATGGAATAACAGTATTACCCACAGATTTGCCAAATTGGGCATGTGATAAGTGTAAAGCTGGAATGATACAGGTAATGTGTTGCTTATGTCCAATGAGAGGAGGAGCTGTTAAGAGAACGAGTGATGCACGATGGGCGCATATTTTCTGTGCACTATTAATACCTGGGGTAACATTCAAGGATCCAGTTAATAAAGATCCTATCAATGTACTAACGATAAAAGCTGATATTTTGGGGCAGAGATGCTCGTGCTGTGACCAGAAGGATGGAGTTTGTCTGGGCTGTCATGTTTGTGGGGCTCTATTTCATCCCTCTTGTGGCCTTGTCACAGGTGCCACTTTTATTATACCTGCCTACAACTCCCAGGAACTTCAAGTTACCTGTCACGGTCATGCCAATCGAAAGGAGAATAACCCACTTGTGAGGAATGGGGAAATAGTGTGGGCTAAACACAGAAATAAACGGTATTATAAGGCTACAGTGCAGTCCATCGATACGCATCTATTTTACATGGTCACCTTCAATGACTCTAGTTTCAGTGATGACCTCTATCCCAGAGATATCACAGTAAGTATTCATCTTTCAATGTTCATTTCTCTTTCAATTTCATACACACATTGGAGGACGAATTAAATAACTCAATGATTCTATTATCTCCAGAACTATCCAGCTGCTAGCATACCCTCTGTTGGAGCAGCCGTAAAAGTTAAGTGGACGGATGGCCAGAGTTATGATGGCATTTTCGAAGGAACAAATCCTCGATATATGTACACGGTAATATTCATGTCACTTTATAACTTTAGACTCATTTATTCGTTAGGTGAAACGATATCAGTCTTTTCCATTTAACCATCATCTCAATCTTCAATCTCTGGATTCAAATTTTTGCTAAAGGCGCAGATAATTAAAAATTGGAAAAACACAATAATGACAATCTTTGATATATTTTGATTGGTATTATACATTATAATTCTGAAAGATTGCACTGCCATTGATAGTTAGCTATAATTAGCTGCCATTGTTTTATTCGTCGATGGTTGATTGATTCTTGGATTCGTTTGCAGGTGTTATTTGAAGACGGATCACAATTGGTTATAAAACGCGATCAGATTTATAGTCTGCAGGAGGAGATGCCAAGGAGAGTGCTCTCGCGCTTGGTGAGTGCAGCCATGAAATAAAAAAATAATAAGAACATCTGAAGAAATGAAATGAGAGAAGCACAATTAATCCTTTGACACCAATTCCATTGATGCCTAATTTCTTCTCTTTTCGGTATTTTGTTTGAATACCTATCATTTTTATTTTATTCATTAATTGAATTTTCCTTTCCCATATGTTGGTTCTTCTGCCCATTTTTTTTAAACCAAAGTCTACTGCAACTGAAATGAAGCATCGATATCATCTTTATGGCACTGAGAGTGAAATTGAGAATCTACGCAAGGGGAAACAGTTGATGAAAAAATCGAAATATTGACCAAACGACTGATTTAAGTGAAATAATTAACTGTATTTAATTTTTCGTGTAAATAGTCGTAATTGAAAATTTTGTTTGTTCTCGTATAAAATTAGCGTTCTTTGTGTAAATGATTATTCATTTGAGGTGGTTTATGCGGATTGGAAACAGATAATATCAGCCTTTCACTAAATTTTATTATTGACTAAATTTCTTTTATCACAATAAAAGAAGAATCCGTCGTTCAAATAAGGTAACGTTGATGTGCAAATCTTTTATACGTTTGATTATCCACAATTATGATATTATGAAATAAGTCCACTGGAGCTTCAGTTTTCGATTTTTATACGTTGCACCATCTGTTGGTTGAAAACTGTTGTTTGCAGATTAGCAGATTAAGAATTCACAAACAAATATAATAGAGATAATCTATAATTTATAAATCAACTACTATGTGTATTATAAATATTATCGTGTGAATATTGTAATTAGTCCTGAAACTTGAGAATTTGACTTGAATATGAAACAGAGTATGTCATCTCTATTAAAAGAAAACCTCGAACGTTCGAGGGTAGTTTGTTTAAAAAAATATTATAATAACAATATTGATATTATAGAGATACTTGTAAAAAGAAAATCATATATAAAGAAAGAGGAACAACCATTCACCTAGACCCAAACGGGTCTACAACTTGTGCAAATTCATTTATGAATTGAGAAATTATTCAATATAGAATTGAGATATACTGACCGAAATGAGACAAAGAATGATGATTAAAATTTTAAATGATTACTGCTTATTGCAATAAAATAACTATGCTAATTGTTGTATGTAACAATAAAGAAAGATTTATGAGCGATAAAATACGGAGAGAATCATGAAATGTACAATATGTGGTATGACAAAATACATTTATTCACTTGTAAGTACATATTTCCAGCGATCGTAAATATATTAATCACATAAATACACCCTGATCGCATTGACAAATAAACAATAATGATAATAATATTCATTAATGAGAGAAATAATAACAGAGAGCGAGAATTGTGACGTTGATCAATGCTGAGGCGGAATGGAATTTTGTGCGAAATTTAAAAAATGGAAGATTTAGAAAAGGAGAAAACAGTGGCGAGAAAAATAATTTAATTACTGACTACGAATGGGGTCCGGCCTTAACAAATAAGAGTGGTTCACTAACACTTAATGACTAGATAAGTATGTCGTGCTTTCTTTCTCTTTTTTTTTTTTGTCCCCATTGAAAATGTGAGGCTCACTGCCGGCACGGTTTTTTCTTTACTTGACATTTCCAGCACAATAGTCAGCTACCTAAGAATTAGAAACAGGTGGATTGCAAGTACTCTCAATGGCCATTGGTTCATCTTCTCCTGTGTCCTGTGTACGAGCAGTTTAACGCCTATCATCACGCTGAAAAGAAATAGACTTAGGTTACACCAAATTATTATACTACTGACACGATTACGATTTATCCAGACGCTATCGGTCACGTTGTAAGTAAAATTAACCGAGTCTATCGTTTTCACCGATAAAAAATTTATCTAAGAATAAGCATACGCTAAAATTCCATCTCTCGCTGGAAAATGGATAATTGCATATTCCACGTGTGCGAAGTACAATGATTCAGTTGCATGTTTTTCCTTTATGTCTACATCTTGTAAAAAGTGTAAGAATTTTACAGGAAAAAAATCGAAAAGTTGGTTGCATTTTTTCTAAACACTTCGTCACGTCTGATTATCTTTAATATTGACAATTTATGATACTTACTTGGGCGGGATAGACAAACGTGGAGACACGATCTTCGCCCAGATGTGATTTTGCTACACAGGTGTATTCGTTCATGTCCTCCCACTCGAGCGCATCAATTAGTAGGTCACCAGTACCAAGTACTTTGAAACGTGGGTTGAAGAGGTGATTCGCTATTACATTGCCGTCTGAAGTTTCCCAGGTGATGTAGGGTCTGGGTTTGCCTGTTGCCACGCATGGGAGGATTAAGGATGTACCTTGAAGTGCCACAACTGTTGCCGTATGATGAGTTATCACCGGTGGACGATTTGAACCACAGGATCGACTCCGTGTAGAGTTGACGTTATCTGAATCATTCACGAAGAGAGTTAGACCTTTCTCGAATAGTTATAATCAATTTACGATTTTTTTTTAATGACGAGAGAATTTTTTCTACTTACCCGATACCAAAATAACCGTTGACTCCCATTTGAATTTGTCACCTGCAATCGCCACACAGTGAATGGGCCCCTCGTCTTGTTTTGATGCACAATCAATCACGTATTTTGATTCCTTCTTTGCAGCACCCGAATTGAAAAACATTGAGGGGTCATACGTGAGACTCGTTTTTTTGAGTTCATCGAGCTGAAAGAGAAGTTCAATGACTGAATATTCATTCAATTTTTTATCAGGAGATGATGCCGGATAATTGACACTTTTGACTCATCACAAAAATATTTCTCGCTTCACTCACAAGTGTACCCATCAATTAAGCTCATTCATTTATTTATTACGACAGGACACCCTTTATTTTATTTTACAATTTTTGTAAGAACTTTACACGGTTGGAAAATTACACTTGAAATTATGTTGTCAAAACTTGAAAACTTTCAATAATTCTTCATTGGCAAATCAAAATCCATAAAAATTTGGAAAATTCAAGCAATAATTTCCCTAAATTTTTAAACAATATTAAAGTTTATGTTGAATAATGATGTTTAATTGAAAGATCAGCTCTTACTTAACATGAAACATTCCGGGATTTTCAAGACAAATGGGAAATTTAGTGAGCGTTTTTAATCGGAATTAAATTCAAACTCATGTATAATTGGTAATTTAGATAATTTTGTGATTGAAACTTCAAGAAATTTTCAACAGCGCATTACTAGGAAGTCGTACCTGTCTTTGAATATTTCCACCGCGTATCCAGAAAATTTGTGGAGCTGGTCCGCCTTCACCTTTACACGTCAACTCGTAATATTGCCTGCGATAAAATATTCATTAATAGTTAGACACGAGTTGAAATTTTTTTTTAATCCAATTCTTGTATATTAATTGCTAAGCTCATTTAAAATCATGCCCATGACGAAGTCGTTCGTTTATTTCTGAGTCATATCATGAATTCCACGAAAATCTAATATTTTCCTAATCAGTAATTACGACATTTAAATTGAAACTTCGATGAATCATCTGATTCAGTCAATGAAAAGTAAAAAAGATTGATGACAATTTCTATAAATGAGCCACTAAATGTTGCGAGAATTCACACTGGCAATTTGAGATGATATTTTTTAAGGGTGCGACAGATGAAAACAAATCTTACCCTTTCGAAAGAATGTGAGAATGCGATGATCCAGACAACTCCACTTTAACCCATTCTTTGGTCTGAAAGAAATTGAAATGATAATTGGAAAAAAATTATAACTAGATAATTAGAAACCCATAAAATTGACATTAAAGAGTGTACGTGCGTCCTCTTATGTAACAATAAGCGTGAATAGTTGAAGAAGAACCACTCCTTAAATCAACGTAAAACATCCATTTCCTCCGAAACAATGACGTTTGAATAGCAAACCAATTGCAAATGAGGAAAAAATTGAATGGCTCAGAATAAAAAAAAGTTCGCGTGTCATTAATAAGGGTCTCATATGCGCAGAATCAAATCAGTCCATCAATGATGATGAATAAACGAGTGAGTCTCAATTTTCACCTGTTTTTCATCGTTTATCAATTACCTTTTTACTCGTCAGTGTATTTTTGTTGTCATAATCTGATATCATATTTGTCTGTTCCACATCATCGAAGGTCAATTGTTGTTCCTCTTCAGAGTCTTCTGCTGCTAGAGCGCGGAGAAAACCTAGGGAACTTCCAGCCACCACTTGTAGAATAATCGTAACCGTGGATAAGCCCACAAGGAACCCTACTAGACTCTGATGCATCTGAAAATAAACAAAAAATAAATAAAAGAATGAACCAATGAAGAGAGATAAAAAAGCATTCAAGTTCATTGGCTTCTTGGTACAAAAAAATGTGCAATCAATCAATTCGCAATCTTTCATTCACATCGTTACTCTTGCATACTTTTGACCCGTAAATCCAAATGCATCATCATCATCATCATCATCATCATCATCATCATCATCATCATCATCATCATCATCATCATCATCATCATCATCTTCTTCCCCTCCCTTCATTTCATCTTCTCTACTCAATCTTTCGTTTATCTTTTATTCTTCATTTTTCATTTTTTTGTTTCGTGTTCCACACTCCAGAGCCTCCAGAGACATCCTCGCATGCCAATTAAACTCCCCTCTGATAAATCTCTTGAAGGCTCGATCAACGATTCCATCATTGTGTCTTTATCTTTTACCGTCATCCCTCCATCTCACCCATACATTTATGTTCATGACCTAACACATTTCATTCTAGCATGCGCATCCATCGCGCATATCTACATGAACATTATTTCAATTCACTCTTCTCAAGGTTCAACTCTTTTCCCTTTATCTATATCTCATGTTACAATGAATACTAGTGAATCATTCGTTTTTATTTAAAACGAAAATTGAAAAAACCGTTTTTGACAATCCAGTCTTTCTTCATTGATGTGATATTAGGTAATGCCGGAGAAATTAAAAATTTTCTACTTGGTGGTATTATGGAAAATGATGATTATTAACTTCTCGAATCAAAGAGTTATTGTAATGACTCCGATAATCGAAAGCGGAAATTTCATGATTTCTCAACGTTTCATGATTACCAGAAAATTCTCCGACACTTTTAACAGATCGCTTTATATGTACGTAGATGTGTGTATGCGTGCATCCGTGTATGACCATAATTTTGTGCTACGATAACGCTCGGACAAACGATATTATTTTTTTATATATATAATCGATACCTTTCCATGTAACTTAGAGATGATTAGATTATGAATAACATTGACGCAGTAGTTTTTTAGTTGTACATTTTTTTTCCGGAACGAATAATGGCCTTCATTAATTATGATAATCATAAATGATCCAGATTTGTGTTAATAAAACTGTCACGGGATTTGTCATTTATATGTTTTTGGGAATTTTATATGTTGAACCGCAATTGGTGAATCGTACTTGAGTAATTGAAAATTTTTTCAACTTTGAAGTGTTTTTACATTTTAAATGCCAAATGATTACAATGACTCTCTAATTCCGGCGAGTTAAAAACAAATGTCCGGTTTTAAATTTTAATTCGTGTTGGAACAGTGGCTATAGTGTTGAATTTCGAATTTTAAATTCATTGAATAATTCCAGAGAAAAATATAGCAAAAAATTTTATGGAGATATTGGAGGATATTCTCGGAGGGTATTCTAAATTGTGTCTGAATTTTCTATAAAAAATTGCGATGTCGTCATGTAAATTTTCTTCTAGTCACTTCCGTTATCGGTAAGGCAACGAAATTTCCGTAATTTTAATAAAACATTTATCTTTGTGTTCAGAAGCCTTGAAGGGGCCTAGGAAGCAAAGTCCGAATTTGGAATTCTAAGAATCCAATTCAAGACATCGATGTTGGTCGCACACGGAGTGAAAATATCAGTAAAAATTATATAGCTATCCGCTTGGTAGCTAATATATACCGCTTCGTGAGAGTTATCTAACCATTTGACAATCCTACAATCTACCCACCATTTAGCTAATTATTTAGCTAATTCTTGCCAAATAAATAGATAATTATTACTAATTTAACAATAAAAATGTGTCGACATTTGGTAAAAGTTAAAAATTATGTCCAGATAATAATTTTACTAGTTACAGTTGACAAATTTAATCAAACAATCCAGTAATTATTTTCCAATAACGGCAAAAATAGATGTACTAACTGGATTACCAAACGATTAGATAATTTTAATAGAATTTTTTCCTCCTATCCGTGCAAAGCATTCATGAGAATCACGCGATATCTGATAGAGATGACGCAGCGGGTGGCAGAGGATAAGGATGAGTGTGAGAGGGTAAGAGGGGATATAATGAGAGTTGTAAGAAAAAGTGGGAAATCCTGAATGGCTGTAAGCACAATCAAGTTATGCCAGTCATTCCGGTCACGAGATTTTCATCACTGCCGGCCGGTTGGTGTGTATTTATACTAGATAAGAGTAGACGTTGGCATTCTTCATCATCGCATCTTAAACCGTCTGCACCAACCACCCTCCAGCCATAGACACGCTCCACACACATCATTTATCATCTCACTCTCATTCTCACTCTTCCTCTTCTTATTTATCACTTTATTTTACTGAGGGCCAACATTACATCGGTACCTCCTCTAGTCTCTCTCCGAACACCTGACGTGTCATAAAATCATATATACCTATATACTTCATCAACTCAATTTATTTGACATCTCATTTTTATTCACCAGTTAAATCCAAATCTAACTATTTGACTCATTCAATTATTTCATTAAAATCAATGTACTAATTATAGATTTGCATTGCTTGATTAGTATAAATTTGATTAATTGAATAAATTACTTAGTATGTGTCTCATGGTAATTAGAGGGGCGCAAAATTTAATAAGAAATACAATTAAATTGTAAGAGATATTCCGTTTTAAACGAATCCAGGGGCAACGAAAAGTGCCACCGTTTTTCGTCGCGTGACGTAACTGATGAAAATTTGTTTAATATTCATTGTCTTAAATAATTTTCTTATACATATATATATTTAATTCTGATTTTTAATTATATCTTTTAATTGAGTAATTCAATAAAATTGTTTAAACTGTAAGTGATATGGTGATAAATTATGCAGCTGGTGCAATTTAGGCTTAGGGTGAAGAGTGGGCGACAGAGATATTAATGAAGTGATGGTGCAGTTTGAATGACGTCGTTATCTCTCTCATTCCTTTTGAAAGAATCATAGAAATTTGTTACCGGACACACCCACCGAGCTCTTGACGTCATAGACCTCCCACCCTGCCACTTTTTCTCCATCATCGTCATCTTCTCGGTATTCATGTCTCTCTCCTTGTTTCTCACATTTTTCTCACTTATAAATTGACAACTGTTCGTTGGGCACTTGAGAGGCTCCCTAAATGCTCGTAATGCATGACGACACGTAACGAGCGATCGGGGGCATGCCACTCTTTTTCTCGGAAATCCAGACAATCCATTAACATTGCTGATCCATTCATTAATCTTTTGCATCATCTTTTTCATTCTGTGATTCTTCCTCACACTCACTGACACTTTCTCAGAACATTTACTCATCATTTTTTTTATTTTATTTTCTTAACCGCATAAATACCCCGATTTAACGTCTATACAGCGAGCAAACGAAACAGTTAAATTTTATCTGTCTCCAAATAATCAATTAGTACCGAGAAGTATAGAAAAAGTTTGCGTGCATTTGCTGTACTGTAATTTCAAATTCAAATTTAATGGAGTCACAAATAAGAAAAAAGGCTTTTTTTCCGCTAATGAAATGCAATTGAAATGAGAGGTAGGTCGCAAATAAATGGGCAATAAAAATTCGAATCAACCGGTGAGAGAGTGCGCGCATCAGCGTTCCTCGAGGGTTTTAGACCGACCAACGAGCAACATGATCGTGGTGTGGACCGATGTGGACGGTCAGCATCCTCTCTTACAAGTCCATATTATTTATCGTTCGGCACGCAGACTGCACTAAGACGCTTCAGAAATAAATATCACCAAAGAAGCCTTCTCAGAACGGAATATCGAACACCTTATACATTTTTTTTCACTCTTCCCTCCCTCACCCCCGATCTTTTTCAACTTGCATTAAAAAATAAATCATTCTATATTCCTGCATCCGCACTGTTATCATATATAACATTCTATATACGCCAATCGATTTATATGAGATTTATCAATAAACCATTCGACTTGAACTCTCGATCAAATGCATTTGTTAATAATAATTGAGAGAATAGGAAGTCTTCTCTCGGTACATTTATTGTGAAAATTGAAATTTTTTGGGCGACCCCGATTTATGAAGGAAAACTGACGCAACACATGGTTCTGGGACTACGGCAATAACGCACACCTCATTCGGCTGATGAAAATTGAACGTCCGCTTACGCGCTTGCTCTCGACCTTGCTCCATTCTCTTATAACCAACAGGTGGCTCGTCTCTATTTTTATTTTCCATTATCCAAAATCAAAACGAAAATCGCATTTTTCCATTTAATCCCGCACATCATCAACGATTTTTCCCCGAATCATCAGTTTTCATTAGTGCAATCCGAAATTCGAGATTCCCTAATCGATTAAGTGATTAAATAATTAACAATTGATATTAATCAATGGCGTTTATATAAGGTGGATAAAACAAAGTCGGCGAATTGGATCATATAATATAATAATAATATTAATAATAATTGAGAAAAAAAAAGCGCGGTGAATTAAACACGTGGGTAGTACGTAACTGACTTACCGACATCAGGTAGTTGAATGGAAAAACTACCACGTGACAAATGTATGAATGGCGGCAACTATTCACTGACATTTCATCATTGAATCAAATAAAAATGAATGATGACTAAATTGATTGAATAAAGCAGCAAAACCTGTTGGTATATGTAACCGATTAATAAATCACTGAGCGGTAGTTAAACGTCGAGTTTGAACCGGTTCGATTGGCTTGCAAGAATCATTCATGTCCCGTCAAGCTCACGCCTGACAAAACGTTTGATCCAATTCCTCGGTACTTGAACTCTCAATTTCTCAATTTATCTCTCTCTCATTCTCTCTCTGTCTCAACGTCATCCTGTGATTCATCATCACATTTCTTAGACTCGGTGAAATATTACATGTCTAATGACCAACTCTAAAAGTCTAGACTCATCCTAGGGAGAATCTGCACGTGACTCTCATTCCCTCATATTTATCACGGAGATCATCCGCTATTTATCTTTCCAGAGACATTTCAATTTCTCTTCTCGTTGTACTAAGGGTTTCACTCGCCAACATTACGAAACAGTATTATATTTTAAAACAACATCGGCAATTTAACATTTCCCAATAGATTCTCCAGCTATAATCAACATAAAACTATGAAAATTACGGGAAATTAATGACAAGACAGTGTAAACTGTCAAACCTCCCCCAAAGACTGATACGACAGCCGAAAAAAGTAGGAAAATAATTTAGTAAAAAAAAACTATATTGATTTACCTTTTAGCTCCTTTTTATAATAGTCTCCTGGAAGTAAACCCACGACGTTCACGATGAGCACTGATCAATGTCTTTTACCCGTTGTCTCTATAGACTTTGAAAAGTCGGCTTTTGTATGCTCGTCGATAAAATGAGAAAAAACTGTTGATAAAGGTATGAGCTTAACAACAAGCGTATGACGATGAGAGATCTTAAAATGATGGTCTTAAAAGAAGCACTGGCAACGGACGAGTTTTCATCGTCATATTTATACGTTTCAAATGTAATCGTGGTGTCTCTTTTGCGCTTGATTGGTCGGCTACTGGTAAGTATAACGGCGGGGGAAACCGGCACGTCTCTGTTGAAACAGCCAATGAGAATATCCCTGAGCCCACGCCCGGTGGGTTTGTTCATCTTGCGTCGCATCTCTTCACCTTCAGCCACCTTCAGTAACATCGCCATCACCATCACCATCACCATCACCATCACCATCACTATCACTATCACCATCACAACTACCACAACAGCCACAATTCTCTTTCAATGTCTACTGGGGAGACTAGCACTAGCACCCGCCGTCAATGCCGGTGTCATTGGATTTTCGCACCCTCATCATTTGCTCCAACGCACCGCCAACCACCACCCAACAGTCGACAACCGGCAACCGGCAACCGACAACCAACTGCATAATCACATTCCATTCCTTCTTCATTTTGACTTCTCACTTCAAACCTCAACCCTCAGACAAGTACATCATCATTACCCCATATAATCATCCCTAGATCATATAATCATCCTAGATGTGCTACATAATTTTTATTCGCCCAAATAGATATCTCTCGTAATTTTGCAATATGATATTTAATCAAGATATCATTATCTGATAAATATCAGAGTAAAGTTTAACTCGCAATCTTCCATTCGATTGGTTCAGATGCAAATGAGAAGTGCGAAGTGGTGGAAGATTGTGTTTAACTGCGTTTAACTAGTCCTGAAGCAGTAGTACTTCGAGACATATCCCTCGCAACGATTTTTACTTCACGCATTTGCGTATCGTCGTTGTATTATCGATCGCCGACTAAATTCACCATGACAGTGTTCGAGAAGCTTCTTCTCCACCACTTCATACCAATGACGCATTTGTCTTTTTCGGCTGGTAGAGAGAAATTCATTCAACAATTAGCGTCAGCGACGCGTCTTCCTCGAAGGCCTGGGAAGACCCGCGGCGTTACTAATTCCCTCCCTTTCTATTCTCTTCACCTAATCAATTTTCTTCACTGGACTCGATGTCGAGGTGAAGAACAATAAAGTGTGATAATTTTATTTTCATTTTATTGTCCTCAATGCACTTTGTGCCACCACAGATGCTCCACTCAAACGTTCAACTCAAAAAAAAAGAAGACGAGAAACTACATATTGATCTTTATTAAGTGCCAAGAGTACTGGGGATGATAAAATATTGACTAGCGGCCCCTTTCATATTAGTCGAGCCGCATATCTCAACGGTATATAGAGATCAATTAGATCTCGAATCATATGAATGTATGGGAATGCGTTATGCATTATACCCAGTTACGTACTATGTATACATATGTGTACATATGGCAATGGGCATTCGCGAGAACGGTACTCTTGTCAGTCCCTTTGCCCCTCTGATCATGCAACATTTTCTCCTATCAACTGTTTCACTACCTCAATATCCTAATGATTTTTTTACGTAACATTAACAACTTGTGCTTAACTTGTCAATTTTACATTTTGTGTCAACCGTGTATTCCAATTTTATGTGCCGATTCAGATGAAAAAACATTAAGATAAATTAAACGATTTTCCAGTCTCGTTTTACTCAACCCTTTCCCTCAAGTCACTCATGCGTTTTCTGCAAAGGAGATTTTGAAGTTTCTGGGTAGTAGTTATTATGATTTCGGAAAGCGAATCGTATTTCGGGGATTCGATGATTTTTTCAAGATTATTTGGAAAAGAATGGATTGATTGATTTTTTGTCTGCAACTGGCGCATCTTTGTATAATTTAGGAGTGGTTTAGGGGAACGATCCTCTCAGCGGTTTCCTAGAACGTGAAAAATTTATTGAAATTTCAGACATCCGAAGTAATTTTTTAATTATACGAGTGTAAATTCAATTTCCATTGAAAAAACTCTCTAAATTTCTCATTCATTTTGAAAATTCCAAAAAACTTGCCTTTCGGGTTGAATTATCATTAGTTTTTCAATGACAACTCAATTTTTAAACACATTTCCAGTTTTCCTTTGCCATATAGATTTGCAAATAGAGAATTATCTGAATATAAAAAAAATAATAACAAAGTTAACAAGGAATTCCCCATAAATGAAATTTCACTTTGTAGTCGTTAAAAATTTCGAGTGTAATTAAACGTTACATGATAAATAATGAAGGGGTTACAACGAATTCAATAAAATATATATGTTGTAAAAATAGTTGGATAGAATGTGTATTACGCAGAGAACGGTGGTTCGAGGAATTGAGATTGAATGGATATGGCCGCACGTGTGCGACAATTCGTTTAAAATGATTTTAGAATTTCCATGCGTGGGTTCTCGTCCACACGAGGCGGTTTTTTTTTTGTCATTTTAAAACATGCAATCCAAGTCGATTTGCCTATCGATCGCCGGGACCGTCTCACACGTCACTCTTTACACTGCGATGTGTAAAGCTCCCAGCATCCATATCCAACAAGATTGATAGTCGGTTGTTATACGTATCCAGCGTGTGCCAGTCTTGTCAGCTCCTACCAGTTGAAATTGTCATTTCATCGTGATCTCCAAAGTCGTTAAATTTATTCAGGACCAAAAATTTTTTTTTCCACGAATAATTACCTCCCATCATCTGGGTGAAAATACATTGCCAACAATTTAATTGAATGACTCGATCTTTCATTTATTGTTAATAAATAAATTTTAGTTAAAGACTCGATATAATGTAGGCTAGGTTGTTAATGCCCAATGTTGCTTGCTCGAGAGTTTGTATCCAAGTGTTCCTGGTCACCAGTCCGTCCAGGGTGACAAGTCTACTCACATGTTGAGCTGTTTCGGTCATAAACAGCCTAAGTGTTTCCATTATTCCCTGCGACCTGTTACTTCCGGTCGCTTGTTCGTTTTAACGTCGAAAATATTTTCAACAACCAGTAAATCTGGCAATCACTGTTCAAATACTTCCAAAAGGAAAAGAAGATTGACTAATGAAATTTTTTTTTCCCGATGTAATCCTGGCATTGTCCATGTTGAAAATATTTTCGGCGTTAAAACGAACGAGCGACCCGAAGTAACAGATCGCCGGGAATAATGGAAAAACCTAGGCTGTTTATGACCTAAACAGCCCAACACGTGGACCAACCCCATTGACAAAGGGCCTTTGGGCCCGACTTCAGACCCTGGACGAACTGGTGACCAGGAACACTCTTTAAGGATGTTCTGCCGATATTTTGTTATTTTTCCTATTTTTCTGAGATTTATTGAAAACTATCGATCGGATTGGGATATAAAGATTAGCGTTTGTCCATTACATCATGATTTATCCTTTCACAAAGTCTCATCCGGATACAACAATTTTTAGAACTTTTCACTAAAATTTATTGATTTTTTATTAAATTCTAGTGAAAAGTTATAAAGGTTTGTGTATCGGGATGAAACTTTATGAAAGAGTCAATCATGATGCAACGGACAAAAGCTATATTTTCATATTCCAATCCGATCGATAATTTTCAATAAATCTCAGAAAAACAGAAAAAATAACAAAATACCATCAAAACATTCTTAAAGCACTCTCGAGCAAGCAACATTGGACATTAACAACCTAGCGTACATTATATCGAGTCCTTAACTAAATTTTAATTGTTAAAAATAAACGAAAGAACGAGTCATCCAATTAAATTGCGATATAATTTCTCCTACGTCCGTGGTTTCCTAGAAACCCAAAAATCTCATTGACAACCTATTAAATACTTTATCATCACTGAAAGACCTCCGACCACTTTCTTGGAAGAGAGGATTTTCAGTTTATTCGAGGAATCAGCCAAATCTAGTATCGATTGGTCAGCGACAACTTTTCAACCAAGCATCACTTCCTGGAATGGTAGAACTCAAAATTTTCCATTGTATTCCACATTATTCTTTTATAACATCATTATCTGGTCATTCTCCGGGGGCCCATCTGTCGTGTCACTCACCGATAAAAAAGTGATTTTTGGGGATTCTCCGAAACAAAACTACTGCATCAATTTGTGTATGACTAATAAATAGATAATATATTTTTTAATAGAAGAAAAATGAATTTTCACCTAGTTATTCGCTACCCTCTGAGCCTCCAATATTAGTATGTTAGTTCAGAAGATATAGACTATCGAGATATGCAAAAAAGATTTTTTCAAAGATTCACAGTAGGTGGTCACCTTAAACGTCCATTGGGGGCCAATGGATCAACTATTGTGGATGAATCTCGACGAAATGTGTTGAGGATACCCAGTTGGAATGCATAGATTTGTATCTACGCATAGTACGACCGTTTTTTCTTGGAACTAGTCCGGCGACTTCACAGACAGAAGTCTTGCATCATCTTTTCACGCTATATTTTTTGACGGTAGTGGGGGGGTGATGATGGTGATAGTGCTCATTGTACTGGAAGATAATATAATGCTCAGGTGATATATCATCGTGAAAGGAATTGAACGAGAGTGTGACATACAGCGAGGAGAACGCCGCACTGAGACCACCGTCGGCTGTCATGCTTTTCGCAGAAGGCCTTTTCGCCTTCTGCCCTTTCTCATTCGTAAATTCCATTTCTTTATTTTATCTTACGGTTCTTCATTCCTTTTATCCTCCTCGTTCACTCTTTTTTTGTCCTTTGCTAACACTGACCAAAAAAAAAA